AGAGAGAGAGAGAGAGAATCGATAGTTTATAGTATTGGCAGCAATATCAATCATCAGATCTCAGTACTGATCCTCGGTGGACAAACTATTCATTTATAGTATACTTTGTTCTTTCCAATGCTTGGCCTTCGATGCAGCGAGGTGAATATTTTCCACTCTTTCAAAAGGATATCGAATCCCTTTGATTACGAAGGAAGAAATGCATGACGTTTATAAGTTCAAAGTATTTTAAAGCGATACGATACAAAAGAAGAGAGATAACGCATTATCTTTATTGTCATTCAGTCTTGTTTCCTTTACGGTCTATCAGTATTTGAACTACGCTACTTGTTACACTGGAATTCGAATTGTCGCATCATATTTCTGCACATCTTGGTCGTATTACTATACATTGTATAATTACATAACGAAGGGAGAATTTGTTTGCACCGTCCATTTATGAGATCTGATTCCTTTGATAAAATGCACCGATCGCTGTTTATTAGCTAATACAATATGTCAAACTATCCTATGATAACGACTCGGGAACTACCTCATCGCCTTCGTGGCGAGTTTAGGAAAAATATATATTCTTCGGAGAGAGAAACGCTTTCGCGGGATTTCTAATCGGGACTAATGTAGAAAACGGTCGTCGACGTCTCGAAACGAGTCGCTCATAGATCCTTGCATTTCGGAGCCGCAGAAATTCTCGAGAATATTGTTGTTCGACAGTCACGGCAGTATATGGCACACGTGCCACGAAAAAATCGTAACGACGACTAAGGCAATTTGACAATTCCTCCCCGATCTGGATCGCCGTAGGTCGTCTAAGTGTTCGGCGACGTGACTTTAAAGTGTTGCTCCGCCTGATGTGCGTGCAGGATGAAAGCTTTGAAGGCGGCGAACGGGCACAGGGGACACTTGAACTGCGGTGGCTCGCACTTGTGTTTCAGATAGTTGCTCCACATCTTATAGAACTTGCTGCACATAGTGCAGGTGTAGCCGAGCACCTGATCGCCCATGTACATCTTCCGGTAAGCTGGAAACAGAGGGACCAAGTTAGTTAGTTGAGCGGCAGACCGACTACGCTGTTCAAGCCTCGCGAAAAAAAAGATTCAACAAAAACAGCGGTATCAGGATAGAAACGATGAAAGCACTCGCGGGTGTGTCTAGGGCAACGATCAGTCCGACTTATGAGATGCAATCATTTCACGTTTGTAAATACTGGCAAATCTGGCTAATCTTCGGATAGAAGATACAATAAAGGAAAAACAATTCGAAACGTTCATATGGGCAAAAGTAGAAACGATGTGTCTGTATCGAGGAATAATTTGCCTGTTCGAATTTGCAAAAAGCATGAAACGTTTGAATTGAGTTTAAATAAAACGTGAAATTAATCAAATTTACAATCAATTACAAAATCTCATAAATCAAACTAAGGATTTTGATTGTCTCAGATAAATATTTCTTGCCACAAGAAGATCGGAAATTTACTCTTTCCGAAAGCTTGATGCGTCCCTTAGAATTTACTTAAAAGCCATCCTAAAAATCAACAAAAGCTCGGAAAACTTTACAAATAATTCACACAAGGACAACTACTCTATAAGTTTTAGAAGGAGTCTGATTCGGAATCAGAAGGATTAGAAATCAATTTACCAAGCCGGCCAAACATGTTTCTATTAAAGCACTCTCATTGCTGAAATAATATATACAAACATTAATTCGCTTTTTGATATTCTAAGATTACGAATTGCCACAAAACTTAGCGTCTAAGTATATTAAAATCTAAAAATTAAACTGGAAAAAAGAACGTTGCTTATCCATTAACTTAAGTAATGTTTCCTAGCTTGTATTACATTGTAATTTCTCATATTCTTTTTCTTCATTAAAAAGATCTATAGTTATATTCCAGTAAACAAAATAAATCTCAAAGGATATAAAGACTTTTTTCAGGCTTTCCTGAAAAGTCTGAAAGATCATTTTTCGTTGATTTGATGGGCAAATAGAAATTGTGCTTCTTATATCTAAAGGTATATTCTGTTCAGTACTTTATACGCAAATCAGTCTTGCATTATGCTATAAATAAACCTGTATAATGAAGAAAAAAGATATTTTGCTACAGAGCAAGACGTAATTTGTTATTCTGTATACATATATGATTATTAAAATGCACTTGTCAAATTATATTTATTTAATGAGTTATAGTAAAAAACTTAAAAATACACAATAAACGCGTGTATAGATGTATTGTGTATATAGATTCAAGTTTAATAATATATTGTCTACAATTAATTTTGTCTTAAATCTACACGAACATTATGTATTTTACTATGAATAAAAATCTAAAACAAGATTAATTCGTCGTTCACAATAACGAGTACGAATAGATTTTTTTTTTTTCAAAAAAATTTGTTTAATATAATTTGCGAATACGCAGACTCTTCCCAAGAAATAACTGAAAAATGAAAACAACAAATAGTTGACTATCATAATGTCAAAGTCTATATCCCACTTTGTTTTTCTTCAGTTTCTTTTTGCAACTTCTCAACAATTATTTATCATTGTCTAGATTTTATATTATGACACCTTTGTTCACCGTTGTGGAAATATGTACCTGAGGGATTAAAAGTTTTCCATAAAATTGTTAATTATTGGTACATATTTCGTAATACATATATATATATATTACGAATACACATATATCTTAACGTAGATGTTCGAAGTATCACTAAAAACCATAAAAACGAAAAACAGCAAAATAATGGACATTGCATGTCGTACCTGCTAGAAAAAGAGTACATTCAGTTTATTTTACGTTTAGTATTACATTATATATAATATAGTCATACGTATACATAGTTATATAATACATTTATAATTTATAAATCATATAAGAATATAAATGTGATAAAGTTTCGATGAAATAATACGACAAATTTTAAAGAATAAATATTGTTTGTTTGTACATTTTTTCAGGAAATAATAATAATATACTTTTCAGAAAATTACAATCAATATCCATAACATACTTATAAATATTCTAACATATATATAAAACATTTTCTCCAAAAACCTATAATTTCATAAATATTTCGCAGTTCTTCATGACAAAAACGCTTACTTTTTCTTTATCGCAATAGAATGCGACAGTACTAGAGACTACCAACTTGAGAATAATGTAATAATAATATATTGACTGCTAATTGTTATATCTGAAAAATGTATTTGCACGCAAGTTACAAGTTTTTTCATCGATTAGATATCAGTTTTTTTATCATTCTATAATTCCCCTTTATTGTTTCAAAAGTAGGAAAATTATAGCGGCATTCAGTAATTAAAGAAATAGGGACAATGTCATGCCACAGACAGAACGTAAAAAATTTTTTATTTTGCGCTTATTTATATAATCCCATATATGGCCTCTCAAAAACTTCCGTTTAGCCTTTAACGCGCGAGGAGATAAATTTAAAAGTCGCACGAAGGATACTTGCGCGACGTAAAATTTATTTTCATACCTCCGCTTGTTTAGACAGTAAAGTACAATCTTACTAAAAAAAAATAATTATTTCATCACAAGAAGAACATTGAAAGCCGGCTCGATAGTGTTACTTGGTCTAACTAAGGAAGCGATTGTAAAGGATGCCGTGATCCTTCTTCCTCTTGTGTATGTCAATGCGCCATTTGTGGGGGCTTTTGTACGAGCACATGTCACAGCTGTACCTCGGCTTCGCATTCACTCGCACGCACTCGAACTTCCGGTGCCTCCAGAGAGACCTTTGCACCTTGTAACCCTTGCCGCAATCCGCGCATATATAAGTCCTCTCGCGCGTTCTGTAGACGGCACGCTGCTGATGTTGCGCATCGCCGATGTCGTACCCGTGCACGTTTTTGTACCACAACGCTGAAACACCAATGTCAGATCGGTTAATAAGAGCAATTGGCGACATCAGGCACACTCCAAGTTTGAATATATACAATTTTGAAAGGATCTCATAAACGATATCGATATTTCGATACCAATAACCAGTCGCCAGTATATCGAGCGAAATAATTTGTCAATATTGCGGATACGAAATTGCCGAGACGGAAATCGTCAGGAGTGCAAAAGCTAATTGTAGTCGGACTTTACAAAGCGTTGCGCGATGCCTCTTCCTGTACCTATCGACGCACCACTTGTACGGGCGAATCTCACAGCTAAACCTCAGCCTTAACTCTCACACATTCGAACTTCCGATGTCTCAAGAGCTTTATCCTCAATGTGTAGCCATTGCCGCAGTTAGTGCACACGAAAATCTGCTTGCGTACTATCCCAGCATCTTCTTGTAGCGCCCCGTCTCTGCCGGTATTGGACATACCAATTTTCTCGTGAAGAGAGGAGTATGTGTGTCATGACAAGGCTGAAACAATAACGTCAATAATTGGTTAGTGGGAGCAATCTGCTAGCACATAGCTATAATCTGTTAACACCAATTGTAATTAATTTATTAAAATTTTAGCAAAAATATTGCATATGTGTACATACTCTTAAATTAAAGTAATAATAATTAAAATAATTACGTAATAATATTTAAAAAATCGAATTTAATTCTTATAATTGTAAGTAATAAAAATTTTCGGGATTATCAAAATTTCATTTAAATCTCAAAAATTAGATTTGTAATAAACATATTATGCGAAATATAGGACAAAAAAATAAAAGTACTTATAAAAAAATATGTACATAAAATATAAAATATACATTTTTTCTAAATATATTGAATAAGAAACACGAACTGTTCTTGCAAGCAATTTTAATATCTATTTCTAAGATATTAAAATGTATATGTTAATTTCATTCAATAATGTGCGTAAGATATCTTTAAGTACATTGACTTCATCCGTATAATGACATTTGAATACTAACGAAGGATTAAATATACCACAAATATCTCATATAAAATCACTCTATTTTCTATTACATTTACATTTCCAGTGAATATTATAAGCTATTTGAAATTAAATAGGAGAATTAAATATAATTTCATGTAAATTAGATATGATTTTTAATGTATGAGTTTACATTGCGGCTTCTAAACCTGTATCCAAGATATTTTCTATGCTCGGACAACAAAGTGAAATAGAAGCTACAAAGTATGTCGGTCAATACATTAAATATGCGCGTACCGCATTGCAGAGATAGAAATAAAAAATTTGGTAGAAAGAAAATAATTGGCGCATTTTTATAATTGTAATTTTGTATTTATCGTAAATCTAACGCAATTATGCATCGATAAAGACATGTCAATGAAAACAAGCTCAACGCGCAATTGTTGGAATTTTTTATTTTGAAAAGGTATCGAAAAAACGTATGTTCACAGGGTTAATACTCCTAAAACTTTCAATCTCTGGTATTTGTCATATTTCGGTAAAAATAAAATACAGAATTATAGTTAACATTGAAAATGTACAATTTTGTTGAAAAGCAGCGTAATGCAATAGTTAGAATAATTTGAACCCAATTGAGCAAAAATACAAAATCGAAAAATGTCTAATAGCATCAATCGAGCTTACAAAAAAATATCCAAACATTATTTCTACATAATTTTGTACGTTTTTCTTTCGGATCTAAATTGATAGGATCTGGATTGGATTTAAGGCTTGTTTTTATGACAATCGTTTATCGCAATTGCAATATTTAGAATTATATGTTATCAATTTAAAATGTATAAGCGCATACCAATATATATGTACTAGAGCTGTTACTTTTGACAATTTCGAAGATTCGAAGCTTCAAAGATAGCTTCGAACCTTCGAAGCTTCGAAAAATATATTTGCAACATAAGCGACATAATTGCAACATTAGAAATTTTATTCGGATTTTGTCACATAATTTTATAAATGTAGGTATACCTATTTCGGTACTATTACTATTTATTAAATTAATAATTGTATAATTTTGATTCTTCGAAGCTTCGAAGGTTGAAGTATCGAAGTTTCGAAGATTCGAAGATTCGAAGCTTCGAAAGTTCGAATATCGGAGCCATCAAAGCAAATCACCAGCCCTAATATGTACGTATATACATTGTAAAATTTTCTTCCTCTGAGCTGCAAAGGTATCATCTGTCGTCTGTGAATTAAAAATCGGACAAATAATCTACGTTAAAATAGTTACATAAGGTTACTCGTGCACAAAGAATTGTAGACGCTTATCTCGAGGAATCTCAATTTCAGACTGACGCTAAAGCATCATCTCATCGCGTACGCACATGTTCGTTCACACGCTCTACAATTGATTAATTGTCATTAGATTGAGTTACAATGACATGTGCGGTAGATGAATTACAATAATATATATATATATATTATATTAAATATATAACTCTTATATATTTATATAATATAACTAAGTATTGTAGAAGTTTGTTCAGTTTGTTAAGCTTGACAAACGATCATGAGAAAAATAATCTTTATTCTAATCTTTTGCCATTATTATCTATGTTCTTGGCTTATCGCATAGTCCCATGTGTTACAGCAATGAAGACTGCAATAGTCAATAAATTAATACTCGAATTTACGCAAAAAAAAAGATAACATCACCGTTAAGATTATCTTCTCTGTTAGGATTGGTTTGTTTATTGGTCCGACATTTTTAAATATGACAAGAAAGAGCGTATCTATTATTATATAATAGATACGTGTGATACCGCGTCACATTAACATTACATCCAAGTTTTAAAATGCAGAAAAATCTCGTCGAGAAATTATGATCTGTTCTTCGTTTATTCATTCGTAGACTGAAAAGAAGCGCTGATGTACCATAACGCATTATCAATTATTTATTATACATAGAAAGCGATCCATTGTAAAGATCAAACAAAAATCCAGGAAGGAAGGTATCATATAGTCTATTTCAGAGACACGTCCGTGTGATGGAAGGTCCTCATGTGCCTGCTAATGCAGTAGGAGTAATTGCTGCGGAAGTTGCAGAGGTCGCATCGGAACTTGAGGGAAGTTCCGGTGTTGTGAACGTTTCTCACGTGTCTCTCCATGTTCGCCTTGTACACGGTCTTGTAAGGGCAGGAGGTGCAGGAGAACGTGGTGTTACGCGGATTCATTTTGCAATTGAATTGTATGTGCCTCTTTAACAGACTCTTCGGCGCGAAGATTTTCTTGCAATGCGGGCATATGTATCGCTTGTATACGTGATCGTAGGTATTCCAACCGCTGCCGCCTGAAACAGACGAAGGAAGCTACGATGTAGCTGTGTTCGCCTCATGGGGACAATCGCAAACGATCGTTCACATTTTAAAGAGACCTACGATCGTCTGATCGCCATGAACTGTCACATAGCATGTAACTGATCGATGCGACCATACGTTACACAAACCAATTGATTAGACTATTTTTGTAATTATCAAGAATTTAAACAGCCTATTTCACGAGATAAAACTGAAGAAATGATTAAAACATGTACAATGTAATATCGCCGTTGTGTCATGAACACAAACGTATATCAAGCTTAGAATCTTATTCCATTTAACATTCTTCCTTCTTGTAGGCCACAATATATGAGATCTAAAATTTGATATGGATTAACGTCAAAGTAAAAATTTAAATACGCACGAAATCCCTGAAAATTGTTAAATTTAATCAAATAATCGATCTTATCGTATTGTTTAATTGTCACAGCGATATTAATCCGTATATGTACATATTAAAAGAACTCGATGGTTGCATTAGTAAAGCGTGAACGGATACTAAGGTAGCCAAATTAAAAAAAAAAATCGAAATCAAATGAGGGAGGATTCGAAAAAAGTTTCTATAACTCACCAAAAATCGCTCATTTTTCATTTTTTATAATACTGCATAATAAATCTTTATAATATATTTGCAGCTTGTCACAAAATGAACGTTTAGTAGACTGGACCAGAGTTGTGCTGTAAATTTCAAGATTACATATCTACATGGATTGTTTACGTATTGTTTATGTTATGTTTGCGCAAACCTTATTCATGTAGACACTGTAACCACTGTAAATTATTATAAATTAAATGATTGATTGATTAATTTCTTTAAACGACATTTTTGCAAACAATCCTACAAAAATAAACAATTGTTTTAGACTAGGTTAAGTTAGGTGCATTTTAGTCATAATTTATTTATTAACTTACAATAATTCACATATAATACATAATACTAATATAGAAATATTATTATTTACGCTGACCTGTAAACGACAAAAAAACAGTCTTACAATTAGTCCATGCATAATATAATATGCTTAGCGTTTATTTTCTTTGTGTTCACAGGTATAAAATATATATTTTTTTAATTTTTAGGGTTACACTAATTAGAACTACCATGATCAAAATCTAATTAGAGTAACCCTAAAAACTGTGTCCAAACTAAATAATAGATAGTAATAAAAATGAAATTGCAAACATAAATTTCCAATATTTCTCACGAAATATATGAACGTTCGATTACTTCTATAGATTCATAGAATACTCATTGTTTACATGACATATTACACAGTTTACATTTGTAGATGTAGAATATTATATTTTATGCGTAAACGCTCAACCCTAGACTGGACTTCAGATATTCGCCTACAATACAAAGTCTAATACACGTTTTGGTTGAGGGAATGTCATACATCGATTACAAAACACCGGAAGATGTGTCCATTCACATCGCGCACGGGAGTTTTCATTCGAATGTGCTTCAAGACGTGGATCATCCGTAGGAGATCGGGATGCGTTTCTCATTATTACCCTACTCCAATTTCGTGCCGTGCACGTGCCGTATATGCCTGACCAGAACATCCTTGCGATTGGTCTTGTATCCGCAGAGACTGCAGAAAAACTTGGGCCGCGTGCCGCACACGGTGCTCAGGTGACGCTGGAGACTCGCCTTCCACGCGTAGCCCTTTCCACATTTTGGGCATACGTTAGGCTTGCCCTGCACGTACTCCCCGAGGTCCTCAAATTGCTGCGCGAGCGGATCGAATCCTACAAATCAGACAGTAAGAATATTAGAATGGTCAGAGGCCACTTTCGAGAGGAGAATTTCTATCGTTCTCCGATAAAAGTCGGTGAACTGTGTGATAAAAACAACAAGATGTAACGACGATATTACATTGTACACGAATTGAATACGCTGCATATTCATTATGAAATATCTGAAATGAAAGAAAAATAGAATTTTTACTTCACCTTCGTTGTTTCCTAAATGCAGCCGAAATCAATTTAAATTCGAGGTACTTAGGAAATGGAAATTGGAGGTATCTTTATTAATACAATTTATTGATGAATAGTATCGATGATGAAGGTAATTGAGATTAATCATGAAAATCTCTCGCTAGAAAATGCGTATCAATTTATTGTATTTTAATTAATTAATTAATTAACACCATATCTGATTTCATCATGTATCATAACGAAGACAATGAATTCAACACCCATTAAAAAGAAATGTTAATCTGCAAATTTTGAATGCATCTTTATAAAAGAATAATGTATTCTACGTCGCTTATTGACTAACTTTAGGAATACGCAAAATAACTCGTGTATAGGTATAGAGGTAAAATGGTTTAAAAAACCAATAACATGGTTTTGCACAAACATATCGCAGGGCGCATATAAGAATAATATGGCATATAATAAATATAACAAGTAACATTTTAGATAAGTATATAAATAACAATAACTCGCGCGAAATAATTGTTATAACTGCAATAAAAGTCATGTTTGAACCATTAATAAACATAATTGACAAAGAAATGCTGATATTTAATTGCACTTTTATGAATCGCAACTATATTAATACAATTTCATTGTACAAATAAATCGCAACAATTATAATTGCAATACGATTGTAATTGCATAAAATAAATCATATTTCTCTCGCGGTACGGGCTAAATATTTACAAATTTATTATTTATAACGCAATAATTCAACATAACGCAACATAGTTCAGGTCGTATTTATTAAAATTTAGTAATAATTCAATAGCAAAAGAATTAACTGAACGTCCCTTATAATCTTCCTCGGAAAATTAGTGCAAACTTATGCGAAAATTTCATGTCACTCATCATATAATCCTTCCTTAAATGAAAAAAGAGGGAAAAAAAGGTTCTTACCAAATCAAAATTCGCTCTTTGTTTTTCTAAAATACCAAAATTATTCGCAAAATATTCGAATGTTAATCTCTCAACAAAATTAATTATCGGAAATATGTTCCAACACGTTGTAGCGCCCTTTCGTCATATTACAATCGTAATTGTGTTTTCAACGCGTCTCCTCGATCGAGGTGGGTCCTACGTGCTCGCGAACAATGTGATACTTCAACAGGGTGGGTATCCTGGCTCTGTGGGGGCAGTACGGGCAGGGGTAGAGCGGTTCCATCTGGCAGAAGAAGTTCATGTGCTTTCGCAGGCTGCGCCAGTCGCTGTACCGTTTCGTGCACTTGAGACACCGCAGCTCGTCCTTGCAGCGTCTCCAAATTTCACGCGGCAATCCGTCGCAGAAGAATCGCAGCTTGGCTGAAACACGATCAGAGTCTCATGTAAGCACAATGACGAACGTTCGCGGAATCAGAAAGGATATGATCGGATTATAATTGTCCTGCATCTGCTGTATCATCGGACTGAACTTGACGATCCTGCCAAATCAGGAACATCGGACTCATTACCCCGTTCATTCATATTCGCTAACGAGAGGACTGGCCAAACACAGTTACTAAGAACAGTGTACCTAATACATACCAAACACGTGTGTTTCAAGAACTTTAAAGATAGAGGAAAAGAATGTGAATAGAAAAGAGATGTCCATTTGGAGAAGTCAATTCAAGCTTGTAATTGCTCTTCTTTACTCCAATTTTGTCTCCGATGCGTTTTCAAGACGCGTTTCATATCTCGAAACGCGACTCTGTGAAATACTCGGTACACAGCCAGACAACGACGCAAATGGATCGACGAGCGCACGACGGAATCTTCGAATTCAAGTGCTTCAAGGAGAGAGAAGAGGAAATTGCGGAAATCAGAGAGAGACGTGTCGCCTTTTCTCCCGTGACCACGGGAGAAGTAGCATTCGAGAGATTACACAACCGAACGGATTCCCCTTGTCTCTGCTTACGATCGTCCGACGAACTTGAGAAACGCGTATGAGAAACGAGTTATACTCCGAGGAACGTGGAGAGGCCGAAGACATTTCCCTGAAGTGTCGCAGCTCACGGAACGTCGCGTAGCAATTGTGCCCTGTCGCATTCGCGAGATAGCCGGAGACACATAATGAAACAGCGGGACGTGTGTAAACCGTATGATTTTATTATGCATAAGTAACATTTTACAGAACAACAAAATTTCGTCATAAGTTGTACTCCCTTTGTATCGCAAGATATACATATATTCGTGTAACATATATATATAACGTATTGATCAATGCAAACGAACGTTCCGCAAATTCAGATTTATATGCAGATGCGACGATTGTCTTAGGAATGTTTCTCTATTTATCTCCTCTTTCCTTCGCTTATTTCTTATCGTTTTAATATCTAAACATGTCGATAAGACTAAAATTCGGTAAAATTGCATAAAAGGTTGCACCCCACCAATTTTATCGCTACTTAAATATGTTGTAGGGGAGGTCTTTCTGAATAATTCTACGCAAGAAAAAAGTGGGGGACGGCATTGGTTCAGAAGAAATAGCAAATTAAAGTTGATATTAAAGTTTATGCTTTAAAAAATGCTGTAATAATATGTTATACACATGTATGCGGGGGAGGGGCGGAAATTCCTTTTCTTAGAACTAATGTGACTTTATAATACCTAATAAGAGTATTAAAATTGTGAAACTTTAATTTGCTATTTCTTCTGAACCAATGCCGTCCCCCACTTTTTTCTTGCGTAGAATTACTCAGAAAAATCTCCCCTACAACATATTTAAGTAGCGATAAAATCGACGAGGTGTAACCTTTTATGCAATTTTATCTAAAATTCTCTCAAATTTTACTTTACATTAAAGAAATTAAAAAAGATCAACAATTTTTTCGAATAATAATCTTCACAGCCGAAACGCACAAATATGGCCAATAATTTCCGATTCGTCGCAGACGCACGAAAATTGGATTTAGCAGTCTCAAATGAGGTAAACACGCGTTTACCTGTTTTTGATAATTTCACTCGACACATTGTACACCGTTCGAGACCGCTTATATCGAGTTTAATTCCTATCGCAACGCTCGTATGTCACTGAAAAACTTTCTTAAGTGCACCATTGTGTATTATCTTAGCCTAAATCCCTTCCGTAGTGCCAGTGTAGTAAATAAATGAAGAAAAAAAACTGTTCCGTGAGTAATTAGCACAGCGTTAAAGTACCGAGATACTCGAGTTAGAGACGTAAGAAGAAACTGTTCGTCCTATTTTTACGCAAAACATATGGCAGCATGTGCGATGAGGAAGTTACTAGTCGTCGCTACGGATTGAGATTCACGCTTCGCATTTCAAAGTTTACTCAAAGCGTATTCTGCACCAAACGCATAAAAACGGGAAAGCGGATAAAACGTAACGTCAAACATCTATTGCTACATACTGACAGATACTGACAAACACGCGACATCCTCGCCCTAACAACACTGTGAAAAATCAATAACAAAGCATACTTGTGCGCTATGCTGCAGTATATTATCGATATGCGCATTACAAACAACTATAAGACACTTTTCCAGAGAAGGGCACGTAAAATCATTCCCGGATACCGGCACTGTTCCCTTCATTCTTTTCTGGCGTGTCGCCAATTGCTTAAATCTTATCAACTCTTTCCGGAGTACCATTACAGCGTAACGCTCAAAGATAGTCGCGAACAGTCTTAAACATTACTTTACGTAAACGTAACGTACATAATTTGTTAACTTAACATTGAGACTCATGATTGAGTCTAAGAGTTCAGATTTCTTTGATAAAATTCGGTGATTCAAAGATTTTCATCGTTTATAAACGCTCGCGCGAGTCCCATTATTGAACTGCTTTCCGAGTTTATTGAATGTATAAAAATCGAAATTCAAAAAAAAACTGAATAATCATATGTCATTTACATTTTAGTGCGAATTATAAGTATATAACATTGTCAGTAACCAACAATTGTTATATGCACATGACAATTTGGTATTTTAAGAAATACTCTTTATTTAAATTGAAAATAAGTACATATTAATTGTTAAACACGAATATTTCTGTTAAAACGGAAAACATTATCATATAACTTTAACTACGCAGTGTTGCGTAAAATATCAAACAATATAGAATTCGAAAAAAGTAAATTAAATAAAATTTAGAAGATAATCAATAAAAGTATAAATTTTTTTTTTTTTTTTTTTTTAATTATCGGTTACCCAATTTTTACTTTTTTAATTTAAATATTTGACTTAAAAATAATAATTTTAACATACTATACTACTGCGGTCGAGAATTTCGTAATCGATATCAACAACATATTTGGCTTACCTTATCACATCCATTTTTAAAGTAATCTTCCCGTGTCATGGTGCACTTCTCCACCATTTGTACTAACGGAAGAAATGCATCATAACGATAGAAGATTACTTTGCAGGTGGATGTGCATAAGATAGATCAAATATGTTGTCTATCGCCCAAGAAATTCTTAACTGTAGTAATATATATAAATATACAGTGCATAAAATTGTTATATTTCCAAAAATATAAATAATATAATAATATAATATAATTTTGACTTTATATTTTATTTCTGATTTCAATATATGAAAATAATTTCTAAATTAAGATTATCTATCTATCAAAAATTGACACCTAATTTATGCTAAGCAAAAGATGTGCAAAATGCACATTAAAGATGCATGATATTATAAAACCCATACCATTGGGCATGATTATTAACAATAATCATGCTAAACAGAATAAGAAGCTAATAAAGATAACGTGTGCACTTTGCGTTAGAAATTGAGCAGCAATGCGCGTGTTCTCCATAAAGAGAATCCTAACCAAATCATTTTTTGGGTCGAACAAAAACGACTGTTGTTTCAAATCATTTTTTGATTAAGGAAAACATTTTCAAATGACTCGCACCTTCCTTTTTTTTTTAACATTTTTGAAATAATGTCTGAACTCTTGTTTCTAACAAAAAAGATATTCTTAAAAATTTGAAAGCGAATCTTATCGTCTTTCCTTATAAACTAACACGCTCGAGATCGTCCGAACGCAATAATTTGAGAAAATCCTCTTATTGACATGGGACGCTTATTAGAATAAAACTTTCTTCACGAAGAATTCTTCGTATTCTAAAACTATCCAGAGATATCACCTTCTTCAACCGCAAAAAATTCAATTCCTAATCGTTTTTAAAGCTTATTTTGTTCTTTTTTTTCCTCAAGGAACTATATTGCTTATTCTGAAGTAGCACTTTTTTCACCCGATCTCTTTCACCTAATATATTTTTGAAACGATGATTGAGTTCTCACTTTTATTTCCCTCGAGAATTGTTTTTTATAGAAAAAAGACTTTCCAAAGCGACAGTAACCACTGATGCTTATGCTTGTGTCTTTGATTACACCTCGTCGTCTTACACTCTCTCGGTCGACATGCGGATTTCTTGGCAAGAATAAACGTAGCAGCGCCACACCACCTTTTCGCGCAATCGCGCTTCGCAGGGATTGTTGTTTATTCCGAAGCAGATGTTGTTGATCTACTTGGATAAGAACCGAGTTCAACATAGACGTTTACATCTTTCTGGTGCTTTTTCTTCAGATGCCTGCTCAGGCTGCATTTTTGGGTGAACAATCTCTTGCAGAAGACGCAGCGAAACTGGGGATTCACATGGCATTCGTATCTGTAATGACGCGATAGGCTTCCCTGAGATTCGTACGTCCTGTTGCAGTCCTTACACTTCCACTTGCCGTTGGTATTGCGCACCTTGCCACAGACGGTCTTGAGATGGCGATCCAGAGTGTATTTGTGGGACAGACCTTTGCCGCAACCGGGGCACATATACCCTTTTCTGGTAGGCGGACTCCACGAATTTTGCGTTATAGACATATCCGTAGAGGATATCGATAGTTGCAGCGAATGGTTGGTGTTGATGTTAACCGGGTGTGAATGATTAGCTTGGTGATCAACATGATTGATCGTGAGATCAACCGGAGCGGGTGACACCGAATACTTCAGAAGATCTGGGACTTCGTTGGACTTACCTGAAAATCAAAGTGGCGATATTAAGGAAGATCGTGATGGGATCAGGTCAGAGAAGGCAAAAAAAATTAAAGCTTTATTATGCCTTAGAAGGAAATCTTTGAAGACGGACAGTGGGACGAATACAGAGGGGGATTCAAAAGACTCAGAAAATCGCGGATTTTGACAAAAGATTAATAAAGCGGCTGTTAGTTTGTTGCGATAAATAAATCTGAGTATAGTACATTGAGTCTCGAGTGGCGAGAAACTTATCAAATCAATAATAGAAAAGGAGATCAAAAATCAAAAAGATTGACGAATGAGAAATACGTGTATTAGAAACGCGTGTGAATAGTTTTCAAAAAGGGAACGATCGACGCGCGGATTATCGAAGAATGATTTGAAAGAAATTAAATAACAAGGGTTTAACGCACAGATTAAAAGAATACGCGCGACTTCGCGACTTTAATCATAGACAGAATGGCGGGAGAGAACAGAGGGAGTGATATATGGAGGGGTAAAAACCAGAGTGGTGTAAGTCAAATTTTTTTAAATGTTTTCTCGTGTGCTTAGATGCAATTTATATATTGTAGAGATTGCATCTATCCACGCGAAAAAATATTTTTAAAAATTTGACTTACACTACTCTGTTGGTTTTTATCCCTCCATATATTCTATAATAATTATTGAATACATACGTACATGTTATAGTAATATGAAGTTCCCGGCATAGGACGGCGCCGAGAAGAAAATTAGGAACGGCACGTAGGCCGCGATAATAATAAAAACTTTAAATGCATAAAAAAATATTGCACAAGTTTCAACAAGAACTATTTACAGATTTCGAGAATTATCGATGGTGAACATGGCGTTAAGGAGACCCACTTCCGATGATTTTGAATTTGAAATAAAGTTAGCGAAATGAGAATAGTATATGTGTGAGCGGGAGGGCTGCGCCCCCCTGCAACCCTCCTCCACACACTGCTTAATCCTTCATTCGCACACGCGCCCCCCCCTCCGCCCCTCATGCCCTCACACGCCCTCGCCCTCACCTCACCTTCCCACCTTCAATCACTCATGTGTATCTGTATTAGTATGACAGAGTTTTCATTCAAAAAACTATATGATTTTGATGAGCATATTGATAGTTTCTTTGAAATTATGAGTTTAATGTATCCATTGCATAATGTAAGTAATGAATGAAAATAACCACAAAAATATCCTAAGGGAAGATGATAAACATTATGTATGTGTGTGCCCTGCTTTAACGAAAATCACAATTTCTATAAAGCAGGGCATACACACGTGTGTGTGCCCTGCTTTAACAAAAATCACAACTTCTATAAAGCAGGGCATACACACGTGTGTGTGTGCCTGCTTTAACAAAAATATTCTGTGTCGGAAATATATGAAGAATTTCAAACAAACAGGGACTGCCGCACTTACCACGCGAAACGAGGGGCCACATGGGTTCGTGGCGCGCTTTACAAGCTCGTTTAGGTAGAGGTATTAAACAAGATAAGTTAGTCGATCATCTGTGTGAATATTTGTGGCGATATACAATAAACGAGCTTGTAAAGCACGCCACGAACCTATGTGACAACTCGTCTCGCGTGAAAAGTGTATGTGTGAACTATTTCGACGTATATATTAATCATTTATGTCTTCCAATACTCAAAATAGCTGCTATATTTTTCAACCTTTTTTTAAAATCACTTGCATGTTACTCGGGAGGGTGTCCTTGACAATATATGTCAAATTCAAGGTCATCGGAAGTGGGTCCCCTTAACGCCATGTTTACCTTATCGATAACAAATATTAAAAAAAGATTGTTACAAAAGATCATAAAGGTCGTTAAAAAATTAATCTTCAGTGGAAGACAGCCGGGCACTCGCATCGAGCGAAGATTCTTGGGAAGAGGCAACAAACGACCATGGCGTCTCGTTGACTGATTTATTGTTACGTTTACTATTATAGATAATATGTATGCTATATTTGTGGATCTAGGCACGAAGTGTTATCGGCATTTACTTTATTAACGATCTGTAAGAGTCGGATCATGTATAAGATGTACTATTATAATCGTGTTTTTCGTGCGGTGATCTTCGAGTGTGCGTATGTAGGATTGCTGCGTGGTTTGGGGTGTACATCTGTTACAAGTTTTACTTAATCTTCTAAGTGGCGCTAAAAATCTTCGACCGTAGGCTACAAATAACAATCTTCGAGAAGACACGGGAAGTCATACAGTCATTAAACAAGCGTGTCCCACTTGAGTCACTCTTCACAGAGATGCCGTCGCAAGACTTCCGCTCCCGAGATGACGAATCTAGCCGGGACAGCCGCGCGTTCCAAGAGCGGATACGATCTTCGATGACGCGAGACAGTAAGCTCTTCACTTGACGACCTTCCGAGTGCATTGCTTCTGTGGCGGCTGATAAAAGTTGTGGCTCTGCATCAGGTGACGGCGCAGACTGACGTTCTGCGTGAAACTGCGCCCGCACAGCTCGCACCTGAAGTTCCTGCGGCCACCGCACTCGTACCTCAAATGTTTCGACAGGCTGGGCTTGACCTTGTAACCCCGGCCACACCGTGGACATTTGAGGGCGAGATCCTCATCCCTCAAATAATTTGCGTGTCGCGACTTTCGTGCCGGTCCCGGCTGAACGGTCGTCCAGGCCACACCTGGAAGAAGACGAAGATGACAGTCGTGTTAGTCGTGAGCTCACTGTGCTGACCGAGATCGCCAGACGCGAGTCTTAACGATCGAGACCTGATCCGCGCTAGCCCGCTAGACCACGTTTCGGCACCTCTCGATTTCTCGAGAAAGGGGCGCGAAAAGGAGTTTGGCGCGGTCGTCGAAAACACGCGGCTCGTAGAATCCCGTCCGATCGATCGAACGATCGGCTGAATAATTCGATTGTACACTTAAATTGCACACTTAAAGCGGCAGCTAGCCGCTCGATCTGCCTTCTATGACCTGTCAATTATTGATCAATGACTTATTTGTCAAGGAAGAGAATGGAGGGATTAAACGGATGGTTATTTTAAGCTGGAAACAAAATCGCTCACGTATCTAGTTTCTTAGGGATCTGGGGATGGGTGATCAATGATCAGGATCTGGGGTGTAAAATGGAGTAAACGGTCTACAACATGAGTTTAGATTCTATCCCATTGACGTCGATATTATGGACTCCCGTCAAGTGCCGTTGCAGGCTTGTTTTCTGGGTGAAACTTTTTCTGCAGTAGTAGCACGGGAAATAGCGTTTCCCGCCGCATTCCCACTTCATGTGCCTGCGCAGATTGCAGAGCATCGTGTAGCCGCGTCGGCATTTCTGACAGGTGAAGCGGGACCTCGAGAAACCTGCTGAACGAAAGAAAAAGTTACTCTGAGGATACGTCTGTGCGCGTGCGATACATCGACGGCGAGCGATCGTCTTTTTTTTTTGCACGGTGAAATTCTAGATATTGTTCTGATTCGAATGCGGGAGATCAGTGACGAGATCGTGTTTCTCGTAAAGATAATAATCTTAAGCATCAACAGTGACAGACTGAAGCACGATATCAACAGACTTTCGTCGCAGCGTTTTTACGCCGTTTGGTAAAGAACTTGATTAACGTCAGCATGCAAAAACTTACAGCGAGAGAATATTTTATCAGTGACAAATGCTCGAGATCGCCGTATATTTTCATTTTTCCTACGTGAACGAGCCTCGTGAACCGATTCGTTCATCGTAGGAGTAATGCCAGAAACATCGTTCCGTTTCCCACAAACATTTGTCATGGATAAAATTCTCTTTGGATCAATACTCTACGTGTGTAAATGACGAAACAGATTTTAAGAAAGTAATGTAATTCCAATAGGAAAATGTACTAATATAACGTATTATTTAACTTGCTCTTGTCAACATGTCTACATAACATAATCAACGTAGCATTTATTATTGAAACTTATAAAGATCGAGATTTTATTAACTTTGATAAACTACAGAGGCTAGCAATGCCCGAAAGGTATGTACAAATTCTTCACGTTGCTCTTTTACGCGCGAGTTTCACGGCGAGTTTGAAGTCTAAGTCTATCTTCGACTCGATGACACTCGTATCTTTGGGATGCGTTTTTGGCACAGGTTCTTCCAATTCTTTGTCCTCGACATCATCTTCCTGCGAAGCCCTCTTGCACGTCGCTCTTACGGATAGACGATTCGATAAGAACTGTTATGTCTCTTCTTCACGGGTACCATAATGTTGTGATGATGCGTCAAGTGCCTACGCAGACTGACGTTCTGCGTGTACTTGTTCGGGCACAGGTGACAGGAGAATCGACGCTGACCGCCGCACTCGAAGCGCATGTGTCTTGCCAAGTTGTGCTTTAGCGAGTATTTCTTCCCGCAGGCGGAGCACTGCAGTGCTTGATCTTCAGCGTTGCCGGGACACCTCGGGCTCGTTTTAACTCGGGCGATCTTCGTGGGCGCGGCGGCGTGAGCTTTTCGGCCGTGGACCGCGGGATTTTCTGCAGGATGGAAGCTCTCGTAAAAACCTGAAAAAAAAAAACAACATTCGTGCGCTAATTAGTACGTAGAATCGCGAAAACGGAGATCGCACACTGATCTTCCCCTCATGACTTATGGAGTCCAGTGGATGACCATGGAACAATCTGGCAAATCGTACTGTCCTCAAACACAGATACTTTGCCTTGAAGAAATATATCTCGCGAAGCACTACTTACGATTAATATATGACATACTTACATGAATGTTATATTTTATTTTAAGAACGTGGGGCGCAATTTCCGGCTTCATACATATAATTATCTTGGAGGAACACATAACATAATAAATAGCAAAATTAGATTCTTGAAATAATTCAGGTTTTATTCTTCCACAAAAGAAGTCACAATTTATATAGTGAAATGCAAGACTTATGCGAGTCTTAAATTATACTTCTGTTTCGGAAAAATTAGCCATATAAATTTTTTCAAGAAAATAATCGTGCTATCTTTTTATGTAAATCTTTTTCAAATGTTTGGTACACTTCAAAACCAAAACAAGAGAGTTAAAAATAACTTGCAAGAAGGAATGTGAAATCCTATATTTATTGTATGTACAGAATATCTTTCAGTTTTCGCAAAAAAATAGTGACAAACTTTTTACACTTTTGCGTAATCTTTCATCAGACTAGATATTTCAACAATTTTTCTTTGTCAAAATTCTGCATTAAAAAAAATATAATACAATAGTCTAGAAAATTACAAATCAAAGGGTTATTAAAAAGACTAATCATGCTGTTGATGCAACCTGTTACAAATATAAAGCCTACTAATAGTGTCGTGTTAATCGGCTGGGATAATAATATCGATACTCTACTACAACTATTATGCCTCTGTTTCACACCATGCTTCGGACTTCGCAAACTTCAATTTGTCGCATACTTTATTAATTCCCAACCATCGTAACTGTGATAAACTTCTTTCTATTTGAGTATAAAAGAAACTAAGGATTGGCAAATTGTTCAAGTACCGGGCAACGCGCCCGTCTGTTGCTAAATCGAGTCGGCCAATTGTTCGCCAACATAAACTCGAACCCCCTTCGCGGGGGCACGATAATGTTGTGGGTATTCAGCATGTGCTGTCGCAATTTGCCGTTTTGGGTGTATCTAGAGGGACACAGCGAGCACGCGAAGTGCTTCTGCCCGCCGCATTCATATCTCAGGTGTTTCACTAGATTGTGCCTTATTTGATACGTTCTGCCGCACTGATGACAAGTGAAGACCACATTGTTCTTGAGGGTTTCGTCTGCGAGGCCTCGTGTGGCGACCAGCAGCAGCTCTGGAAAAAAGGAATGGTCGGTTAGTATCGAGCGCGACAAGGTGCAACCAGCGTTTCTCGAGCCAACACCAATGACACGTATTTCCGACTGCGAGTCCTCGTACCATTTTTCTTTCCTTCAAGATGGGGAGGGAAAAATCAATCGTACACGATCGTCTATCAAAAATTTATTACGAGTTACATGTATATTGCATTTCTTTCTCAAGCGACTTTTCTGAACAACTCAGTTAATCAAGATTCATGCGCTTCGCATCCTAGTTTTCAAAACCTGCGTGAACTATTTATTTCTTAACTTTGAGTAATTCGTATATTGATAAACTGGAATACATTACATATTACAAGTTTAACATCTTGCAATACGTGAACGCCCTATTGATGGGGCATTTTAACATCGTTCTTTGGTTCTTTACATAAAACCTGTGTTTTTTTTTCTACAAATAAAAATTATAAATTGTCATAATAATCGACATGTAAAATTAAACTTAGTAGCTTAAGCCTGAAATAAACTTATTAATGAAATACAAAATCGGTAATATAATAAAGCAACCATTTCAAAGAAATTGATGTGTTCTAAACTACAAATCATTATTTTTCTTTTTTTTCTTCATTCAACACAATATATATGTTTTCTACTTTATAACTACGTATCAAATTGTATATTTTTTTGCAAAATCTTTTATTCGGATGTGACAATTCGCTCGCGATCGATCAAGAGATCATGGATTCGCGAGTATCTTCACTCAGTCTAAAGGAACTATAGATAAATCAGCAATTACTGCGATGCGTGAAAAACATCAGTCCTATTGCTTAAATTATCTATTTTTTATTAATTTTACTTCGTAAAGATGCGTTTAGGGACCGAGAACTTCGGCGGCATGTAGAGGTTGTGCCTCTGTAAAAGATGACGACGCAGACTGATATTCTGCGTGTACTTAGACGGGCATAAGTGACACATGAAGTTTCTCTGGCCGCCGCACTCGAATTTCATGTGGGTCTTCAAATTGCGCTTCATCTTGTACGTTCGCCCGCATTGCGGGCACATGAGCGGCGATAACGGTGACACCTGTGTCAACGGCGTGTTCGTTGCGTCTTGCGGCTTCCGAAATCCGTACGCGAACCCTGCAAACGAGAAAGGAACGATGTTAGAGTATTTCTCCACGCCTGAGAGACGCCGTGCGAGACACGACTGACGTAACTGAAGACGACTCTTGCCCGCGAGGCTGGACAGGACAGAGAGACACCTCGAAGAACGGCGGGGCAAGATCAATTGCATGCACGATCCGGCATTCAGTTTTTCGCACACGCGAACACTATTACGTTTTCTTCGGTCGCACGTTTATGCACATTACGACAATTACGACAATAGCGTGTTATAGCATATACCAAGAGATACAATAAAGGACGTACGAAACGCGCTCGTAATTTGTCGTAGATTTGTCGGGGTGAGAGAACGTCTCTCTTTCCCCGCGTGTAATGAGAAACAGATAATCTATTGTATAAAGAATCTCATTTCTCCTTAGTTGCATTAAATTTATTTGATTACTTTATACACATTTAATGTACAGACAATTGGCAATCAAAGAAACGGTAATTGTAATTTGTCTTTGGTTTGAAAAAACAACACTGTACTCGCACTAATTTCCAGAGGCAATCGATATAGATTCCTTCGTATTCATCTTACATTATGTCTCAGATGTTTAAAGCCATATACTGGTTTATCCTACTTATAATTAAGACAACATTCTAATTGTATCATATATCTAATTGATTATTGTATTATATCAGTATTGACAGAGATATCAGTTTTGACAGAGATAATTGCCAAAACTACTTATATTTTCTATTACCTCTCTTTTTGTACGCCTGCTAAAAAATTTCAAGTAAGTTCAGTATTAAAACTCAAGTTTCAAGAAATAATGTAAATGAAATACAATTATATAAATGCAATTATAATTGCGTTAAAAGTAATTCGTCAATGATCGTTTAAGTGACATAAAATTAACAGAATTATAGACAAACTATACACACTTTTTTTTCATCCATTACCTACATGTGATGCAGAATATCAGCCTAAGAAAACGAAAGAATTGTCAACCCAACACTTATTAGATACGACACAACTATTTATGTTACTAATCCTAAATTTAATTTTACAAATTGAATTTTTTTTTTAATATTTATCAAGGCAGGTAAAAATAATATGTAGCACAAGAGCGTACACCTACACCGATCGTGAAGCGACCGATGCACATTGGTTGATCACTAATAGTCACGCCAATCCACTGATAATCTATGTCGCACGGTGAAGCCATTAATTAAAATACAAGATATTTGCGAGCGTAGTTTAATGTTTCGATCGCACGTGACGATCCAGATTGCTCTTCTGGGCGAATCGGCCCTTACAGATCGGGCAGACGAATTTCGGCTCCACGCCGCACTCGTATTTCTGATGTCGCCAGAGCGACGTGAAAAATGCGTATACGCGATTACACCTGACGCACACGTGCTTCTTCTTCGACTTCCTCGACCTGTCGCATTCGTCCTGGGATTGTCGCTCGTACGGCTGCCGACCCTTGTTGCACTCGAACGCTTTGTGCCGCAGCAACGAGGCTTTCAAAGCGAACGTCCGGCTGCAATCGTTGCAGAGATACTTACGGGGACCTGATCCGCCGCCGATCATACTGACCTCGTTCGAGGACATCGAACGTAGACGTCTAGTGTACATCGCGATTCGCGACGTCGACGGTAAGGTGGGTATCGTCCAATTGGCCGGACTGTACGTCGCACCTGCGAATCAAGAAGAGAACAGATGAAGCTTAGTCTCGATGATACTGGCTCAAGACTTAAATTCGCACTAGCGACATCAGTTTGATTAATGCCTCAGAAAAGCAACTGGTGTGCATGATATAAAATACACAATAAGGTATTTCAGACATATGACGTGTAATCACAATTCTTAATGGTAGACACATAGATGCATACGTCATTTTTCTGAGATATCTTCACCAATATATTAATTGAAAAAATGAGTAGACAGGGAAAAAATTTATTTTACGTTTATTTTAATAATACGAAATTTTATTCGACGAAATGAATATGATATCTTTTACGTTTTCTATCAATATACATATTTTATCAAGATTAAAAATAACAATATTATACAAGATTGCTATAAAATTATTTAAATTGTGGCTAACAGTGTAATTGTATATTTTATAATAACAAAACTTCTGTGGCAACCTTCTAAAATCTTCAATGCACAGAAATTATGATAAATAAAGTAAAGTTTAATATATTTTTACGCAAATATATCGTCGTGTTAAAATGTTAATGTATTTATTCGAGATTATTAGTAAAACAATTTAATCACAACAAATTTAATTCTTTATGTGTGAATAATAAAAATCTCGCTTCTTATAAAAACCCATTTTTCTTCATATTAAAAAACTTATTAAAGATTATATTATCAAACTCTACATTGACAGCTTGTAAAATCAGAAAATAAATCAAGAATTTAATTTGATTGCTTATAACGTGGTTATTTTAATTTTTCATATATTACTTACAATTTCTTGCATTCACCTAATCATGTCAACACCACGCATCAATAAAATACATATAATTCACTAATACGACGAAACAATTAGAGATTTTACGTAAAATCGGGATAAACATTAAACGTATTCGTCTCCTGCGCATGAAAATTCATCTCGGTATCGGGATGCGCCTCGAAAACCTGTTGATGACCATATTGCGAATTCTGTTCCAAGAAATGCTGATGACGCGCCAGTATGTGCTTCATCAGGCTGTCCTTGTATCTGGTCCTGTGCGGACAGAAGGCGCACTTGAACTTCGGATCGACCCCGCACTCGAAATCGTGATGTCGCTTCAAATGGTGTTTGTGCTTGTAAGTTTTGCCGCAGGTGACGCAGGTATGCTTGAATATCGCAACGTATTTCGGATCAACTGAAACAGAAAAAGGTTTGCCAGCGGTTAGCACAGGTCGCTTCCCCAACGAGCAACGTGATGCTTCGTGACGGCATCGTACGTCCGCTTCTTCTCGGGAGCGCGCTCGGGTGAAGGTATAACGCTCTCCGCTAACTTCTCACCGCGACATTCCTCGCGGTGCATTGATCCGTCCACTAAATATGCTTAGCGTGAACACCAAGGCAAACACAAATATTATTTGTCTTATGAGATCTATGTAATACGGATTATCCACATATATCCAACAGTTAGGACGGATTCCTGGCCCCCTTTCTCTCAAACCCTACTTACCTCTTCGTTACTGTTATCCGATCGCTAATTATTATCTTGTATTCTCAAAGGCTTAAGGACTCGCGATTTAGAAACTGTGCAGGGCATAATTGACAAATTGAAGTAGAACAAGGAAAAAGGCGGAAAGGGGTTTGATTTGCAAAGAATCTTAGAGATATTGTTCTCGGAATGAGATGTAGACTCTTTATTAAATTCCTCAGAGATTTATCTTAGACCTAAGATGATCCTCGTCGAAGGGACTTCTACGTTAGCATAGCGACATAAATATGGAATGCTTCACGATTCAAACACAAGTTGATAAAAAGGAAATATATCGAAACTTCACGTCGTACATGTTCTAGACAATAGTTGAGATTTCTTTAGATGATACTATCGGCATACCAGAAAGAAATCACACGCGAAAATTTTTGTTCATTCTCGTACTAACCCGCCGTTCTACGAAAGCCTCGCGATCTTCGAGATCCCGGTAAGTAACTTCGACACTCGAGCGAGTAGAAAGTCGACGTGTTACTTAGCAGGCACGGATCGAGAGGGCTTTCATGAATCATGATGCTTCAGGGTGGCCATGCGAGGTACGAAACCGTGCTTGGCGTGTTTCGTCATGTGCACTTGAAGATACGACTTATAAGTCGCTCTGTACGGACAGAAGGAGCACTGATGCATCGGCTGCTTGCCGCACTCGTTCGTCACGTGCCTCCTGAGATTCTTCATCTGGTGATAACGACGATCGCAGTTGTCGCAGGCGAAGCGACCTTGGCCACGACACCGCCGTCGATCCTTCACCGTTTGTGTCACGTAATAGCTCATCTTCATGTAACCTGCAATCACGAAGAGCACTTTATTAATACCGGAAGTAGCACTGATCTTCATCATCCTCGTATTTTGATGGAAAGAAAAGCATTTCATTAAATCCCTGCCGGTGTGTTCCTTTAAATCGGATACAAACGGAACAACTTTGCTGACGAAATCTATTCAAGTCCTGTATGACATCAGAGATAGAGCAAATAAATAAATGAAAACACAGGATAGGCCCCGTTCGTAGACTGAATCGTCAAGTCTTAACGTGACCAAAAAATAACAGCATAAAAAGAATGTATAGAGTTATACGAGAAGAGATCCGCTGCGTATCTGAAAAAGTGTAATGTATAATGCCACGAGCATGCAAATACAATTACATCCTCAGTGTGCATCTCGTTAAAACAGAAAACATCCTTAAAGTGAATTTCTTCAGAACCTGTTCCATACTCACGCTTTGTACTCTCCGTTCTATCTATGTCAGTCATTAGCAATTTTTTTTTCACCGCCTCTTCTTCCTAAATTTCACCATGGAGAATTGAGCGCCGATTGATTTCGTGTCTAGTGTACTTTCTAGGAATTCGAAATGGTGTTAGCGACAAGGAAATAATAACATGTGTCAACATTTCTCTCAGTGTATATTGCGAAGATAAAGAGAACAGTTTACAAGCTGCTATGAACGTGTAACAATCAATTATTCGAACATTGGAACGTTCTGACCCACACTGACGCGTCATTAATTAAGATATCGGTTTTATTTACAATTGCACAAGATATTTCTACGTATTCCGTAGAGAGATTTTCATGCAATTAATGATAAGGTCTGTCAGAAATCTAGTCAGTTGATTATACATCCTTGTCTTGTACGCCAATGATTTCATAAACCTAATTTAAATAATAGAATAGATCCTTATTAAATAATTTGAACGCAAACGTGCGACGTCAATGTTAAAATCAACTAATTTATAATCATCTTAGGAAAGACAGAACTTTCTAATATTACCTGAGAAATCAACATTAAATCTTTGCAATAACAAAGAGGGGCAAACATAAAATTTATTTCAAAAAATATCAAAACATAATCCAATTGTCCCACTATTTCACTATCAGCAGTGAAAAAAAAAGAGAATAAATAAAATTAATCGATGAACAATTAATCGTCAGGTCACGGGTATGGCAAATTCGGGTGTACATGTGTAACGTGCTTCGTTATGCTGGCCCTGTACTTGCTCTGGTGCTGGCAGTAAGGGCACTTGTGCTTCGGCGCCTTGCCGCACTCGACCACAATATGTCGACGCAGCGATCTCTTCACTTTGTAACATCGCCCGCAACGAGGACACGGGAAGATCTTCGTCGATACGACTTGTGCCGCTATTTGGTCTTCGATACTCCGACAATTCGACTTGTTTCGCTGCGAGGGCAACGCCAAGGGATCGTACTCGTCCATAACGTTGAAGCACCATTCTGAAAGAGTTTGGGCGATTGTTAGACGGAAATCTATTTCTGATATTTTTCTCTTTACATATGTATGTATGTATATGTATAATATAAATCGCAAACTCGTTATGACCAAGCGTTCGCATAGATGTTCTTCCGATAGCAATGTTGGTTCGATACATGAAAACCTACTGAAATTGCGTGAAAGTAATATATTTAAGCTGTGCCATGAGACATACTGATCCACGTGTGAAGGAAGACTCTCTACTTTTCTTAGATGTGCTCGTATACAAAATTGAGATAGTGTATTGGCGAGGGACAGCCATAAAATATTATCCAATTTTTTTAGTATGACATGTAGATTACACAACGAAATGAACAAGGATTTATCAAAGAAAAATTTTGGCCCAATACTTGCAAATAGATGAAATAGACATGTGCAATCGAAGATTAGAATTATTGATTAAAAAAATGAATTTAGATATACTTATATAGATATTTATTTTAACACTTTGAATGTCATGTTATTCATATCTAAATTTACGCAAAGACTCCGTCATCCATTTGTGAGTGACGGTTTTATTTACTGGAAAATAATTTTACTTAAAAATAATTTTACTAAATATTTAAAACATTAAAAAATAATATAGTTATTAAGACATTTAAAAAAGCAAGAAAATATTAATATAATATATATCAGATTTATGAAGTTCAATGTCGAAATTAGCTTGGCACTCAAAATGTTAATACGTAAGATAATATAAACAATTTTTATTACTTACAACTTTAACTACTTACAACAATTTTTTTATTATCAAGATATCTCTTTTAAAAAAACATGTTCAAGTAATCCCAAATAACCAACCTATTATATCTCCATAAACTTTCTGCTTAGCTACGTCAATTTGTTAAAGACACTTTATCTTCAGCAAATAGCTCCACAGTTTGCGAAATTGCCATCGAAAGAACAATGTTGCATAGTCACTCCTACGATTATAAATTAGATATCTTCTCATTCTACATTATCTTCAATTATTTTAAAATCAAAATTATCACAATTGCTGGAAAAAAAATTTATTCCAGGACTTTGTAAACTATATTAAAGCAATTTTTTCGTTTAAAGAAGCCATAATTACATCGGAATATGAACTAAACGTCTCAGGACAACTGAAACAGAATGTCAAACGAGATTGATTAAGGGCTGTTATAGAAAAGAAAGCGGTTCATCATAATTTTTATTGAAGTATCTATATAAATAGGTATCTATAATAATACTTCGCGTTTCGCACGATGTTCACGCACATGGTTGTCACGTTTTATAAACGTACAGCAAAGCGTATTACTACCCACATAAGCGTGCATAGTTTCTATGCTTTTTCTTATTGTCGATCGTGCGTGAATGTTAATAAGTTCCTGTGCACCTTTTATAATTTATTGGCGTTATTTATCGGATGTTTGCCGATACCTCGAAATATACTCGTTACATTCAGTTTCGTTAACAATAAACTTAATCATATTAGCGTGAATCGTATTATCGTTTAACGAAGATTTAACAATTAAATAAGCTTCTTCAATATAAAAATTAATTATGCATATTGACTTGGTGGTTCTCTGTTTCGCAATTAACACGTATTAAACTTTGGTATTGAAATCTTCGGGGTTTTGCTTTCACACCGAATGCCGAATGATAATGCTGCTTTCTCAAATCGCTTAAACAAGCGATATGATACATTTGTATTTTAAATACATCTTTGCAGATACAAAACTAAATTTCTTATTTTAAAAATTTATAATGTGTAAAGAAGCAGTATATGTAAACATTTAAGTTTACATATACTCATTAAGACTATCAAAGCCTTATAAAAAAAATTTTTTTTCTTTACCTAAACTTCTAAAAAAATTTATATAATTTAGGAGTTTAGGTGTAACGTTAAATACATCTCAAGTTAATTCTTGGCTTAGATTGTTACTCGTCAAGGTTTTAGTATAAATAATAAAAAAAAACTAAAAATATAAAAATTAAGTTGCAAATAATAGATGTGTATAAAAGAAAAAAAAATAAATATAAACATAAATCTATTTTTTATAATAAATCCACTATAGATCCACTATAGATATGTTACTATAAAGATCAGGCTTTGTAAATACAGTCTAACAATATGACTATATGCTATATCAAAAGACATAATAATATAAAATACAGTACAGATTGCGATCTCTTTCCTTCAAAAAATACAGGATGGTCGCGATGACAGTCCGGGAAAGGATTGTACGTTTTTATTATTATATCTACATATGTGTGTCGGGAGGCTATTTCACTGATGATGACGCATAAAATGGTGGCTGCTTACAAAAATATAGACTATTGTATCATTAAAAAATAAACGCTCATTAGCGGTATTCTGTCGGAACATTCACTGCTTGCGGGAGGGAGAATAGAATGATACTAAAAGAAAAGCGTAGTAAATTTAAGCATATACGGTTGTAGATTCGGTTGTTAATAGGAAAAAATATATAACATTAATGGACCAAGGCTCAAATCACTTGAATACGAGGTAATTCAGAATCATTGCATATGAATAAAAGAAAGTATTTATGATCAAATTCTAACGATGACGAATTCCATGCAATTTTATATTAGCTCGTTCCAATATTTACGAGTTATTAGATTAGATACTTTCAATATTATTGTATTATAAAATAATTATTTGTTAAATATACTAACAAACTTATATAATATATCTAATAAATTTATATAAATTATTAATGAATAAATATTAATAATTAATATAAATTATATATTTATATTACAATTACATAACATCATATCAATCATATGGCCTTAATACTGTAATTAATAAAAATTATAATTATAAACCAAACACTAGTCAAATAAATACTATAAATAGCATAAATTCTGAATTATCTAGTACAAATCATCCGCACGTGTAGCATCTAATATATCATGCGTTTTCGGACGCAGATACAATTTAATTCCCTTCCGTTGAAGACGTCTTGTTGCCATTGGGCAAAGTATAAAAGTCGCTCAGCAGCTTCATATGCCTGCCATTCAGGTGAGTGTTCAGGCTCGACTTGTGCTTCGTCCTGTAAGGGCACAAGGGACAGTGGAACTTGGGCTCCACGCCGCACTCGTGCTTCAGATGCCTGGCCAGGCTAGAGTAGTAGCTATAGACCTTGCCGCAATTCTTGCACGGGTATGTCACCCTCTGGCAATTCAGATAGCCCACCGCGCGTCCATCTGGAAAGCAAAAGAACACGGGAACACCCGGTTAGAGAGCATCGTTCCTGGACGCGGCTGCGACTCTTCCTCGCGAATTCGTGCATAGCGTGCGTAGAAGAGTAGACTCTTCGACGATGTCTAGGGTCTAGCTGCAGGGTCTACTCGTCTATCTCTCGTAGCTTATACTGGCCCAAGGGAGGTACGTGTCACGTTAAACAAAATTAAAGGTCACCCTATCTGCACATATTCTCACAAGCGTACTTGGTTGGAGATGCATTTCATGCCAAGTTAAAATTCGCGAATATTGCACGAACATCGTTTCTCAATTACATCACAGTTAGTCTTGTATGTACAGTGAAGGAAAATGAAAAAAAAGATAAACATAAAGTCTTGCAAAAGAGCTATGTATATTTAGCGCCATATATAAGTATCTTAATAATTAATGCGCGATAAGTAGGTTTACTTTAGCAGTCAGATCACACTTATAATCATTGTCCTGAATAAAGAAAAATGACGTGTTCGAGACATATCGATCATCCTGAATATATGACAGAAATCTAAAATTGTTCTGGATATTATTCGAAACCAAAAACTTGTGGAAAAATATTTGAAAAATCTTGAATGTGTTAAAAGTCACTCGAATATCTTGAAAAATATATTATTTTTAATACTACAGAAAATATATTATACTTATGTATATTACGTTATATACATCTTATATTATACATCATATATATACATATATATACATATATATACATATATATACATATATATGTATACATATATACACATATATATACATTATATATCAAATATACATCTTATATTATACATATTATGTAAAAATTATAATATATTTTTACTTTTATAAAATTTTTAGATATTAATTTTACATTATCTCACAATCTCACTTACAATTAGATATAAATAATAATTTTACTTTGAAGAATTTCAAACGTTTTTGAGATATTTAAACATTTCCCAAGATTTTCTAGACACACAAAACATTCTCGATCCTTCAAGGTCGTAAAAAATTTCCGGTTTCAAGTAATATTTCTCAAAGCAATTCGTTTGTACAACTTAATGTATTATACAACAGAATTGTCTGAAAATTTAAAAAAAAAAAGATAATATCCATTAATCCCGCGAATATTGATTAAAAACTGAAAAATATAAGTTGCATTTTTCAGATATTAAATGATTTCGTCAATCTATTAAGTAGTTTCGTCAATCATTTTATAATAATCGGTGAGTATATTTCGTGAACATCGCCATCGAATTGTCATAGCAGTTAGTTAAGATATATATAGATGAACATATTTATAAAATAAAATACAAATTGAATTAAAATTAATCGGAATCAGAAGACGAGAACCGGAATTTTAAGCGATAAAACTGCAAAGGCATAGGAACATCATGAGCAACATTAACATGTCTAAGAAGTTTGCTCTTCAACCCTGTTTGGTAAGGGCAATATCCACACATGAATTCGGGTGGTAACCAGGCACTCTCATTGCATCTCTTTATGTGTTGATATAGAACCCGTCGGCTCTTAATCTTTTTATTGCATAATGGACATTTGCGCAACAATCGCTGGCATCTTTTCTCTGCAACAAATACATCCATAATGATTAATAAAAATCCTTACTAATCGATTCGCATATACTTGAATAATTGCTAAAAATGTCATTAAGCTCTTTTTTTTATGAATCAATAGTTAATGGATAATATAATTTGTTTAAATTGGATAAAATCTGTATAAATTTTAAGAACTAGAAGAAAAGATAAAAAATAATTTTTTAATAAAATAACTTTTGCATTAATATTTATTATATATTATATATTAATTATCTCTCAATGTGTTTGTCTATTTTTATATAAAAATTATTTTTATCGCAATTTTTGTTTTAATCTCCAATCTTGATAATATAATAATTTTCTAGATATAAATAGACGACGAAACAGAAGTATATACTATATACAAGGATGGAACAGTAGACAACAACATAGAAACAAAATTCCGATTTTTATTAATGTTTTTCCATATTCAATGTTAGTGTAATTTTATTCGCTCTTTTATTAATAATCGTACCGACAACATCACAATAAAAAGTATAATAACTACAAAATTATATTAACGTTGGAAAAAAAAAAGTTATTTATATAAGTCTTTATTTTCCAAAATTTTCTTTCTCAACTTATTTAATAATCACAAAAAATAGAATATTAAATGAACGAAAAACTATACTACTGATTGCAGAGGTATAATACTTTTTTCACACGCATTATTGATAAAACAATAATTAAAAATATTGTAAAATAACCATAACTAAAAATATCTGAAAATGTTATACTCTTCGATGATGTCATCGATACTTACCGTTCACAAATTATAAACATATTTAATAACCACCATAACAATTCATGCAATAATATAAAATTTCACATCCAGTTTTGTATAAGAGGCAGGAAAATGATAAATAATGTGCAATGTGCTGTCAATCGAAGAAGAAAATCTCTTGATACATCTTTTATCGCGAAGATTACAGAATTCTCTAAAGACCTTTCTAATGCCACTTATTGTTAGAATGTTAAATAAATAATCGTGATATTCTTCGAGCATTAAAAATTCGCATATGCCTCGAACTTCTTCGTGTAAGTCGATCGTTTCGGGATGCCCTTTTTGCTGTATCGATGCAGAACCGATTTGGATATGCAGTAGATTCTCGCGGCCTTCCTCAAAGACATCCCATTGGCGACCGCGTCAATGGCTCTCCACACCTGTTCCGAATCGCGTATAAACACTCGCGATTTCGCCGTACTTTGTAAACGAGTCTCGTAAATAAATGGTCCTGAAACATGAAAGAGGCGCGAATAAAATACATGTACTTAAAAGAATTCAGCTCTTGAACGGAACAAATTCAACAGGAATTTCTTTCTATTTTCATTTTATGTTCCTATCCGCAGAAAAAAAATTGAATAAAATCATAAATATAATCAAGAGATATTAAAAATGAGAGAGAAAGGAAGAACTTCGACGATGGTAATTAAAAGGAATGTATGGATATTCTCTAGAGGAACTTCTCGTCTTCAAGGATTTGGTTTCTAGGAACAGCATTATGAATAACGAACGAGAGATTTGACTAATGTCTGTTGCTACAAGCAACACAGTCGAGAGATCTGAGTGCGATAAACAATTTGTTTTATTGAAGAACATTGAAATGGAGACATCTGTTGTGAGATACTGTGAGTCAATAATGTATTTTGTAATCCATCAATAATGTTTCGTTATCTGCTTTTTATACGCTCGCGTGGATCCTCTTTATGTGCGACTTCAGATTCCACTTGCGGTTGCTCTTATAGCTGCAATACGGGCAACACTCCGCCTTCTTCTGGCCGCACGAAGCCTTGACGTGTTCCACGAGGTGATGCTTCCATCGGTACGATTTCGCGCACTTGGAGCACTTGTACCTACCAGTGTGGTCCACATGCTTGAACCTGAACTTGCGGTCAGCATAGTTGCTGGATCTGTTGGTCGTATTCGTACCGAGTGCCTCATAGTTCTCCCAGACAACAAGCGCACCTGAAACACAAAAGCCAGCTTGTCATGTATGCGTTGAAGACAACCGAGTTGTTAAGAGCAACCATTTGTGCGTTCCCAGGACGCGATCTGTTTTACTTAAAACATTTACATCAAAGCGACATGCGATGGACAAGGACATCTTCAGAATACATCTCATACCTATGGGCAAAGACTGGAACTTCCACATCATCTATGTTCATCCTAATACTCATTTACCGCTCCAAACTGTTAAACCACCCGTAAGTGACTAAAGGAAACATTCATCGGTACCGTAATAATCCACGCGGTTTTTTTTTTCCATTTAGGATAGGAGAGTAATGTGAAAAATATTGCAGCTATGGCCAATCCAATGTAGAAATATTGAAGACTGATAACTGAAAATTTTTGTTAATTTAATTTTTAACTCTATGGTGATTTATATAATAATTAACGATAATAATTAAAAGCGCTGAATAAAATGATAAAGCTCAGATTATGATTTAAAAAATTCGCATTAGGACTATTAAAATTGCGATAATATTACAATCGTAAGCGAGAATTTTAATGAGAAAGTTAGAAAAATTCATAAAAAAGATACTCGCTAAAAATTTAAAAAAAAAAACGGGGAAAAAATTTTGGAGATAAAATAACGCAATCTTTGGTGAAATTGAGGCGTTTCACGATCTGTAAAAAGTCATAAGTGATTTATAAGATTGTGTAAAATAAAAAGACAAAAGGAGATGCAGTTCGAAGGATATTCTCGTGACTGCGAATATTTACACAGGTATTTATTTAGAAAGCAAACGAATGCGAAACATCGTTACACAAACACTTAATCGCTGCGTAGCGCAGCCGACGCGACATGTGGCTTCACCGATCTATCGATCTACTGATCTATCGACTGGAAAGATACATTAGCGGTGCGTCTCGTAGACAGGTGGTTTACATCGTTATCGTCTCTATAACGTCGTTATCTGCCGAATGTACGTCATCATTCACGTACGTAAGAAATTTCGCGGTAATAATAAATTTTTTTTTTGTAACGATCCCGATTTTGTCAGCATGCATTTCTCGATATGCAACTCTCCAGTGACTTCCCTTAAATTCCTAAACTTGTACCTTCTTCTGTTTACGAGGCTTCCGTGTAGGCTTCGTTACATTTAATCGGCTCAGACATATTTTTACGTCGGAATATTATTTCGTTCCTATGTTTACGAAATGTCGAAGTTAGCGTTTCGAATTTGGATAAATGACTAATGCGTTTAAGTGATTAATGGGACGATACAGCGCTCTTCTCGAGTATCAGATAATAATTCACCTACGATCTACATAATATCTCTCGTTCTCGTTTCATTCTTTTACGTTGTAAAAACGGTTTGTAAAACGAAAGCAGGATGGCCGTGCGTTTACAAAGCCCTAAAAAGGAAAATCAATGCTCGTGTTAATTGAAATCTGTGTGTATATTGTAAAAGAGGCCACGCGGATGCATGCTTATCCCTAATCATGGTTACACTGGTCGTAAATGAAATTACTTGCTGTCGTGGGACACGCTTAATTGCCGGTACGTCGATAAATGTAAGTAACTGTCGTCTAAAATCCGCTACGCCACATGGCTAAGTAAGTGTAGTTTGGAGCTAGCGTAATTTACGGTGAAATTGCACTATGCTCGAGCAGTCTCTATAATGCACGATAATCGACGGTACAAGGGCGTATTACTAATCGCGTTAAAAAATGACTCCATCGACATCTTTCTTAAGTTTATCGCTTATCCTTAAACCTATAGGTTTTTTTGACTTTTAAGATCATTACGTAGTCTTCGATGATTGCCGTCCTCCGATCATCTTCCGGCGGCTATACTTACAGTTACGTGACCATTAATGTCTCGTTAGGTAGTAATCAGACTTTCCTGCCATCTTGCACACATGCGCACGCACAGGCACACGCGCATACACACACACACACACACACACATACGAGAGCCCGCACATACATACGCGTGATATCGAAGTTACGAATTGTAATTTCTGATATTGTTAATTGCACCGATAGTGAACGGAAGGCGTTTTCCTCGACAAAAATGCGTGAAAAAGATAAAAAAGTCTCTGGCAAAGATAAAACATTCACTACGAAGATTCCTATTTGTAAAAGTAACAAAAATCTTTCGCTAAAACTGGAAATTATTAGAGTCCCAAGCTGGGATATGATTAACTTCGACGAACAAATAAAGTTCTTTGAAAGATAAAATTTTGATTGCGCTTGATGTGAGTATACTTGGATCTTATTCAATGAAAATCAGAATGTATAATTGATGTATCGTTATAATTGCACATTTTACTTAACATTAAGCAAAATACTTAAAGAGATGTATTACTCTGTGTTAAAATACGTAAAAATAATATCCATATTATTATCTCCGAACCGCAGCTCTCGAAGCGGGTTCGTCTGAAATCTTACGGAAGAAAAAAAAAACAGCCTTTAGACTAGATTTTGTTCACTCAATTAAGTGTAGTTATGTCTACAAAGTCACTTTTCTCACGTCGAACGATTTCTGCAAATGAAAGAAGCTATAGCTTCCACGTATTTAGGGCCTAAAATAAATGTGAAAAAAATCATCTCTCCGAGAGTTAAGTCGGCGAACGCGCCGCACAAGCACAACTTATATATAGCTAAAACAGTCGAAAATCGCTCTCACGGAGTCTCGAGCGTCAATGACGACATCACACAGAGTCTATAGTACGACACTTATTGTTAGACCATACAGATCATTGATATGACGTGTCATATTACAACTACATACGACGTCTTACGTTTTTTCGAGAGTCGACGCTCCGATAAGCTTCTCAAAGCAATCGGACCATAAACGCTGTGCGCACTCGCTGCTTCTGCCACCGAGCTAATATTTTAGTTCCTCGTTAGAAAGCCGGCACGCCAGCTTTCGCTCGAATACGTGAGCTTCTTATTAGATAAGAACATAGCGTGGGAAGCTACGGGAGGACAGTTCCGCAGGGCGTATGGTATTATCCGACTACCAGATTATCTGACTCGAGGAGACCGTGGCGAAACTCTTCCTCCTGCGAAAGAATCATCGAGATTGCCGGGAATCTCTCGTCGATTCCAATCGCGGGAAGAACCTCGGACCGAGCTCCTCGCGGAGACGTCGCGATTGCGGAAGAATCGAAGACGTCGTCGGTCGGCGAGATACCGGGGTGTCGCCCCAGCGCGACGTCTACTTGATGTTGTGCACCGAGAGCAGGTGCTTGAGGAAGCTCGCCTCGATCCTCGATCTGTAGGGGCAGTACTGGCAGGAGAAGTGCGTCTCGAAGGTGACCATGCCGCAGCCCATCTTCAGGTGTTTCCGCAGGTTCGACGCCCAGGAGTACATCTGGCCGCAGCGGGGGCACACGTGCAGCCGCGGCCTCACGATCGGAAACAGGGGCGCATCTGAAATGAGAGGTGTCCGTTAGAGCGCGATCACGGAGACCGCGAGAGGATCGGGTAGGGCGAACCCGTGAGGACCCACGTGTAGGGGGCCCGGAGTCGAGGTAGCAAGCGTTGAACGCAACCAAGATAGTCTCTATACATCGAAGCGCATGCCTTGAGCAAGTCGGGAATGGATCCCCCGCGAAGACGTCCTCGGGATGATCCATCTAGCGAGATCACGGCGCTTTTCGAGGCCGAACGATTCCGCGCGAACATCTCTTCGGATTCGTGATCCGAAATGCGAACGAAGTTACGAGAGCGAGAGCACGACTGATGTCGCACGGTCGATCGTCTCGGAAAGCGCTTCTTCGATCTCGAGGGAAAAAAAAACTAACACACGTGCGACTGTCTTCCTGTACATACGTACTTACTTCGTCCATTCTCGCATCGGCACTCTTCGATACCTATGACCTGAAACAGAAATAATCCGCGAGGAAACCAACGTGAGGTTCACTGAATGGACCGGAATGATCGCAGCCGGGAAGAAAGTAAAGGATCAAAAGGAAGATTATCATAGGACGTGTTGCAGCAAATATATTTTATTGCAGATATAATTTTCTCTTTCTCTTTTCTTCTTTTGAAGGAGATAAGGATCGGTCTCTCTTTTAAAAAAAAAAGAATCGCACAGTCGTTTAGTCACGCGTGCGTCAATACAAATCTATATTGTGCTTGCAACACATGTGCCTCTTGAGGTTGCCTTTGAAGTTGGACTTGTAATCGCAGATGGTGCAGTAGAAATTCGGAGGTTTACCGCACGCCATTTTCTGGTGTAAACGTAGACTCGACGGCCACGAGAAGTTTCGCCCGCACAATTGACACACGTACTTGACACCTGCAACAGAAATACTAGTCAGTGAGGAAGACGCTTCACAGTCGCGCGGGATAACCGGAAGAGAATTCCCCCACGTTGCGAACGAAGGACGCTTTCCAGCGAGTGCTTTTCTATCCGCGGGTCTTTCTATCCTGCTTCGAAGGCGCGAGATCTGACAATTAGTAACAAGTAACAACATGTAGCAAGTAGCAATATACCTTATGTCTCTGAGGCACTTTCACACAAGAAATATTATTGTTACAATTTACGGATTTATGTGTGCTTGATTTTCTTTTGTTCACAATTGGATTTTCCGCGAAATGTTGGGAGATTCGCGGAGATCTCGTATATATATTATATCCTTCTTAACTTCAGAAGAGTATTTTGACTGCTGAGAATAATATACGTACGAGATTCACTAATTCATAGATTCCTCCATCTTTTTTCCCAATATCTTTGCTTGTAGGGAATATTACAAAATATATGCTTGATGATTTTCAGCAGATGTGTGCAAAGTGCTTAATAACATAAGAAGGTGAAATGAGATGAAAATTAAAATACGCGTTTTATATTAATTGTAAGTGACGATTTAATCACAGTATCATTGATGAAATTGTGCGAATCTGTAAGGTGCCAATTCCGTGATTTGATTCAAACCAAAACCTTTCACATGAATCTATGACAAATAAGTGAAACTTCCGAAGTTGCATTGACAATTTATTTCATCAAGATATGACATTTCTTTCGCAGAAAATTGAAATAAAACGTTGCATGGATCTGTTAGACTTGGCGGCGCGTTATTAATCACGTAACTTCTTTAATTTCTTAGTAAATTAATAAATTGATTATGAACTAAGCATGTATATTAAACAAATAACAAATTGTACTTAAGGAAGAAATCTTACAATTAAACAGATAAAAATTAAATCTCTTTGGCGAAATTTCTCTCGACAAAATGTATTATACGAGCCTTTTAGATCCATGCTGTATAATGTATAAGAAAAATATTGTGTCATGCATATAAGGTTGAAAAAAAATCTCAGGTTATATTCATGAAGGATAAGTGCTTCTTCTTGACGTGTAATATATTCTTCTGGATTGTTGACTGCACTCGGTAGGCATATGCTCTCTAAGATTCTCCAAGGTGTAAAAACGTCTGCATCTGTAGCACCGATATAGCACCAATCCTGAAAATATCATCGTCAAATATCGGTTAACGACAAGATGATCCCGCATCGATCATGGTTTGTAAGGGTTTGCAGGGACATTGAACGAAACACAAAGAACGCTCGACAAACTCTATCAGTGAACCATTTAATATCGCTTTCATTTCAACTGACTAGATTTACAATATAATTACGATTAATTATAATAATATTATGAACATTCGAGTCGATGCTTGTCGAATGACTTCGTGCACTGATCGCGTGCAACAATCGGTCATTTAATAAATTTATTTAATAAATAATTCATTTAATAAAAGTTCACTTAATAACTAATAATTAAAACTCACTTAATAACAAAAACTCTGATAAATTACGGTAAACAATTTTCATTATTTGTCTTATTAAATACATAATATACATGTGCAGTTAATAACTGGTGCACAAGTCGGTAGATAATTCGGAATTGATTGCACAACAACATGATTAGTCAACAAGAAAGAGAAAAAAAGATTTCGTAAAATTACGCAAAATTAATCTCTGGATGCATCCTCTGGATGTGTTTATGCAGACTGCTCTTGTACTTGGTGCGATGCGGGCAATAAGGGCAACACTCCTTCGGGTCCTTGCCGCATTCGATCTTCAGGTGACTCCTCATGTTCCTCAACCAGCGGTAATACTTGCCGCAGTTCGGGCACTCAAAGAAACCCGGTTTCTTATCGAGATAGCTGGGGAATTTTAACTGGGAAATCTTCGGGTTCGCATAATTAGAATTGTGTGGAATTTTGTGCTGGCTAATCATCCGATCCTGGTGATACTGATGGATACTCTGCCAAGCTATCATCCCTGAAAGAAAATAAAATACAGCGGTTAGTAAGTGGTCACGGAGATTTCGAGGTGAATTTTAATGGCAGGCTGAGTCCAATTTATAGACTTTCGAACATTTTGATCGCAAGGGTGAGAACGCAGAATGCAGCATGAAATGTCTCGTCTTTGCCTACTTCTTCTAAGTCTAATATATCATTATGGCTAGTTCATTTTTTTCATTAAATTTATTAAATTTATGCAGCTTATATCTACGAAAAATATATCCCCCGAATAACCATTAAAGATAAGTTGAATACAACATTTTTATATTAATTTTAAGCATTTCTGTTTTGTAGAAAACGTTGTTAACGAATGAAAAGCTGCTAGCAATTTTTAACAAGCGCCATAAAATATATTTTTTTACAAATAAACACTTATCGCTTCATGTTATAGAGTGATTGGACTCGTGCAAGATTATTTATATAAGTACGTGGAAAAAATGATCCAATTAATTTATTGTATAAAATTTGGCAAGTACTTACAGTGATATCGAATATAAATGTGTAAGAAAGGAAGGAAAATAAAAGAGTTGGATTTCGCATTGACACCTGAAGCCTGAATCGGCTTGAAAATAAAATGCATGTATGACTCGAGTACAAAATTGTCTTTCCATTTAGAATACATTATTGACAAATTCGATCGGATGCACTAACGCATCTACGCTTATGACTAATACTAATATAGATAATATACACCCGTAGAGAAACTTCACACGCAAAAAAGTCAATTAAAGCAACAAGTCAATTAAATCGCACTGACATACTCGTTACACGTTACAGGTATTGATTCACGCCAATATCCGCAAACGTAAATTTAATCTCAATGGTAACTGCAACTGCCTTCTCTATCCACGTTAAATTCGCGCGTGTACAAAGTCGCTGATAAAAAATAGAAATCGGATAATTAGGAAGACTTGCGAAAGTGGTAACATGCGCGTGCGACGTTTACAAGCACTAGATGCTGCTGGAGAAGACATTCTTCCCGGGATGATTGGTGCGGATATGCTGATACAGATTGCCGCGTTGCTTCGTCCTGTGTGCGCAATACGGGCACTTGAATTGTGGCTCCTTGCCGCACTCGTGTCGCGTGTGCCTCAGCAAGGTGCCGCGGTGCTGGTAACCCTTGCCGCATCTCTCGCAACGATACGGGTATATGATACTCCCGCCGCTCTGCTTGGACATCCAGAGTGTCAGATCCTTGATCGACATCATTGGCGAATAGAGCCGTTGCTGCAGATTCCTGGGCATAATCATGCGCGGTATCGACGGCTCTGCAAGCGAGAGGAAGAAGAAAACGGGGGGCGTTAGTCACGGAAAAAGATGCGGTGGCTGCGTTTATGAAGATATAAGTAATAATTAAAGTAGAGAAAGAAGAGAGAGAGAGAGAGAGAGAGAGAAAGGAAAATGCATTCTTCGTTTTATTGTTTGCGTTGTATTATTTGGATATATTAATAAACGATAAATGCGACTAAATGCGAGACGGATGATAGACAAGGCGATGTTTAATATACAGACGGAATATAATTTGCGGCAAGACCAGCCTTCAAATTTCGTGACCCTGAAAAAGTCGGATTCTTAAATCATTCGATTATCTTACTATGGATCGATTTTATCAGAAATTTTGTTTAATCTCAGCTGTATCAGAATTAAAATGTTCAGCTATTTAAAATACAAACATTTTTGGGAAAATTTTAGAAAAAGAAGAGTTTATTAAACTTCTTGATATAAACTCATTCGCTCTCGATGAATTTAAGTTTACAAACTTTCAATAATATTGTAGAAGCAATTCATTTTACGATTTTCCAGATATTTTTTGCTCATTTTGTCTTACAGAACCTATATTTCAAATTTCATCGAATTTGATTAACAGATTGCGCAATTAATTAATCTCTTTCCGCGATTAATTCATAAAATCAAGGAAACGTAAATTTACATCCAACAGAAAAGACATATAATTGAATTATACAAATATCTATTTATACTAGTCATTAATTCATAATTTTTATAAATGCGCGAGCATATACAGTACAAAAATATATAATAATAAAAATATTGGATCATCTTTTTTTGTTCTTTGTTAGACCTGTTGTATGTCTGCATGTATATTTCTTGTAAATTCTGTAAATCATATATCGATATTCATCGCGCCATAATAATATGTGCACAATCTCTTTAATTTACACCCACATACACGTAATATCAAATTGGAATCGCTCAAATCAAAATGCTATTAAGTCTTCAGTATCGTTAAATGTCGACGTAGTACCATTGCAACGATTAGGTCGCCAATTCTATCGATTCTCTGTTCGAAGTGTATAGCAATTCACATCGGAAAAGTTTGACGGACCTAGAGAATCGAATGTATTAGTCTTAATAATAATCTAAACGATGGCATTTAAAATATCGAGAAGGCATTAAACTATCCAAGTCGACTACAACCCAGCATTCTTAGGAAAGTAACAAGTGGTAACAATGCGGACTTGCTTTATTCGGCTGTAATTTATAATACGGACATAGGTAAATAATCTATTAGGGAAATGACTTTATTTCGATTAAGTGAGAAAATATCGTAATTTATTCGCTCTTTTGGGATAACGATAGAACAAGATACAAAGAGATAATACAGATAAAATCAATTTTATCGTTCTTCTGTCGTTCATCATTTCTCTCTATCGCGTCTACATTCTGATCAACGATGACTAGATACATCAGCATCCGTACTGTAATACTTAATATTACGACAGATACGAACTCCCCCCCCCCCACTTCTCATCTCAGACAAGAAGACTCGCTCGGGACTTCTTCATTAGGCTATACGTTCGGAAGCAATACGGATATCTGTTCGGAATCACGCAGCTTATGAAGGAGCTTTCGTTTCGACGAGTGCATTAAAAATAGATAAACAATACAAGAGCTCGTAACAAAAAAAAAATTTTAAAAAGTCGCAATATAAGGCACTATTTCGAAATAATTACGCGGATTGGTAAAACTGTTGCTCGGTAAGCGTGACGAGAATTGACGAACCAGCGCCTAGTATTGGAGGTTCGAGAACACCGGTGCTGGTTCGCCGTATTGGGGATTTATCGGTCCCGTCTTCGTGAGTTCTCTCTCAATTAAGGTCGATCACGTAGACGTTCTGACCCCGGTGACACTGACGGATGTGCCTGTAAACGTGACCGCGTTGCTTCATCTTGGCGGAGCAGTAGGGGCACTGGACTCTCGGCTCCTGGCCGCATTCGAATTTCGTGTGTCTCTTCAGGTGCCACGCGTGTATATAGCTCTTCGAGCATCGCGAGCACGTGTGCCTCTCGATGTCGCCCTGCAAGTGTCCGCCCCGGCGTCTCCTCGTCGAGTTGAGCGGCTTCTCCTCTTCGTAGCTAAAGTTCTCGTACTCCTCCATCACCACCGAGCACATGCTCTCCAGGCTGGTCTCCAGCTTGATCATCTTCGCGTCTAAAAAAAAAAATCGACAGGACGCGGGATTAGCTGAGTGATCAAGGTACGCGAGTGCCGTATGCGTGAAGGAGAAAAGGATATAAAATGAGAAGATCGTGGAGACGCTTTTGCAAATGTTACCGCAAATTATTCCCGTCACCTGACCCTGAGGAGTTCAAGCTCGCGCAAAGATCTCCGTTTTACCTGCTCCGGCAAACCACTGCGTCCGGGCTGTCCCGAGGAGTTACCAACGCAAGCGTTTCGATACGTGAAATGTATGGAAATGAAACGGCTATCTCGAAGACCAGCAGAGTGTCATGGAAATGCTTTATTCTATCAAGTACACAGTTAACAAAACGACAATTACATGTAACATCGGTTCGTCGCACGATAAGAGTGCCGAGTGTCGAATATGCCGAGAGAAATAAAACCAACAACAATAAAACAAGATCGTCAGGTTATACGGTCGACATTGCGTCGTCAAAGGGAGAGAAACGTTAGAGCGAGCGTGTGCTGGGTGAAGCCTCATCAGGGCGAGTCGATGATGTAGATGCGCTGACCGGAGTGCTTCCTGCGTATGTGCTGGCTCACGTGGCCGCGTTGCTTGCTGCGTGTGCCGCAATAAGGGCACTTGAACCTCGGGGTCAGACCACACTCGTAGCGCAAGTGTCGCCTGAGGCTCTTGATCACGGTGTAACCGTTACCGCACTTGGGGCACACGTGATTACGGCGACCGCTTCCTCGTCGTCGAGCCGACGACCGGCCCCTGACGACGCTCTGGCTCGCGTCGGGCTTCGTCGAGTCGTATAGGCCGACCCCGTAACTTCCGTACAGAAGAACTGAAAGCAAACAACGGAACGATTAGAAGAAGACCGCGGATAATCGTTGACGAGCTATCGACAGGCCAAGGAAAGATCATTAACGGTTATCGGGCACGTAAGTGCGACGTCTGTTTTGCGAAGTGAGTGTCTGGTGCAATGTGTACTTGTAATGCGTTCGAACTGATCGAATTCAGACCATAAGCTGATATGCAGAAAATAATCTAAAATGGGATACATATTTTAATGACGATTTTTATTTCATGAATAATAGAATCTTTACGGATAATCAACTTCTAGTTTTCAATAATATGTTATCATTATCTGTCAATCATTTTATTCTTCTTTCGCGTGAAGGAAAAATTGATACTTGCATTGAAGCGATTTTTACGATTTGATCTCTCTCGCATACGTATCATTAAAATATGTGTGTGATGTAACAACGGCTTGTAGAAGCAAATGATAATATCGTGCGTGAATAAAATACATAAACGATATCATCCAGCTTCAATCCAGTATCATTAGTCGTACATGTAGATCGTCATCAACTTTTATGATATCGCGCGACACATTTGACATAAATTACATGTGAAGTATCACAAAGACAAACATTCAATAATTCAAAGAAGCTCGAGATGGACGAGGAAATTTTGATTAGGAATTCCTAACGGCCTCACACGTAATATATTCGTACCTGATAATGCAGTTAATAAGCAGACGTGCCCGTAACGTCGGCAATCTGTTCCTGAAAGTGAAATTCCGGAAGAAAATGAGCAATCAATTAAGTGATGAACAAGAAGATAAGAGCGCCATCAGAATCGTCAAGACGGGAAATGTGGAAGTAACGTTTATTATGCTTGAAATCATAATAATACACAACACTGCTCGTGACCAAGACAGAAGATCCACGTGACGTTCGCACGTTTCGTTAGGACTTTAGATCGACGACCCAGACTCTCTCGGCGGGATGCTTTTTTCTGATGTGACTATAGATCTGCGACGTTTGCTTGCTGCGCAGCTCGCAGTAAGGACACTTGAATCTGGGCTCGTGACCGCATTCGTATCTGAAGTGACGATTGCGATTACTCTTCAGGGTGAAACCGTGCAGGCACTTAGGGCAGTAGTAGAGGGTCTTCTGAGTCTGGGAGGGCGAACGCTCGTCGGGACCTACGAAGTTCATGAAGGAGTCCATCATGAGGAGATCTGAAAGCAAAAACCGAATTGTGAGACTCGGTCCGGATCGCTACGTCTGGTAACTTCTGATCATCGGGCGCATCGACAAGTTTATCGTTTATGTACATGTTTATCGTTAAAAAAAAAAGACGACAATCTTTCAGCTTCGAGAAAATTAGAGATAGATAATTAACGAGACAGCCGATCTGCGATTAATGAGGAAAATCGCATTGGAGATACTTCTCACTGACCCTGGGAAAGAGTGGTTCGTTAGATATTAAGGTGCAAAGAACAAAGCACATAAATGCAGGTAGAAAGTTACGATTTGGATTATTGGATTACTGTTCAAATGGTATTAGTCTCGTGGCACGCGGGTGAATAATCGAGCACGTTGGTAGAAAATTTGAAACAGAAAAAAAAAACACGTTCCTCACAGTCGTGAAAGGGAGAGGCATCCGTCGTTAGTTTTGACCGCAAACAAACACCACACGCGTAGTAGATTGTCTATCGTGCAGACCCGTCAGATGAGGTCCTACGTCTCTCCGTTTGTTTAAACTGAAATAACATGGTGCTAGATACGTGAGGGAGAGACTGAAGGGGGCTGGGGGATATATCGGGGAGAAAAATACTGAAGCACATTAGGGCAAGTAGGGTGTCCGAACATCAATTTATTTTTTATATTACATTTCCACAGCGACGATATACGATCATAAAACGTACCGCGGGAAATCGCTATTGATACACCGACGGTGAAAACATGTTGCGTTCCTAATCGGCCAGGAATCGGTAAGGGTATCTTGACGTACGTCGCGCGAAGCTCGAATAACACGGGCCTCGCAGGCCCGAGAATTGCTTGCGTCCGTCAAAATACCCCGTGCGGATGTGATCCCTCGCTCGCAAAAACTTGCTCGACATCCTAAGTACGAATCTTAAGTACGCAGAGAACTTAATCCGAAGACCTAACGGAATGTATGAAGAACAATCGTTTTCTACGCGCGACGACAGATACGTATTTGTTTTAAGTACGTGGCTTCGTCGCGTACGTAAGTACTTAGAATACACTTATATCGCTATACGAATAATTATATCACAGCAACAAAAACAGTCGGCCACTAACGTGTCTCGTGTCTCTAAGAGACCCTTCCGTCCGCGCGGATGCGATGCGAATGCAAGAAACAAAAGGCACGTGCCGCGAATATATCAAATCGCGAGAGATAACCAAACGTGTGACAAACTGGTGTGTTTCCGCGGTACATGAAGAGCAACATTTCTCAATCTACTTTCGCGTTGATAGGTGAAATATATTCTATGTTTATCGATTGCTATTAGTGTCCCAGGTGTAACGATGCATCTTCATGTTAAGAACAAAATCACGGCAGCGTGTGACTCTATTATCGTGATTAAAAAAAAAAGAAGGTAACTACGTTTGTTCCGACCGCTTAAAACCCTGTTCTCTCAGACTTTCGGCTCCTGTTAGTAACAATTCAGTCTTCGTGACGAGCGCCCATGATCGCTTGGCTCGTCGCTCGTCGTCTATAACAATTCCGACGATTTGTCAATTGTAAAATCGACAATTCTTCGCTAACGATAACACGCACGCCGCTCGCTTTCCGGCGTCATAATCTAGTCTGATCGATCCTGGTACATTTAGACGCACGCAAATGTTTCCTCGTGTCCCATCGTCTCAACCTCACAACCTGAATCTTTTAAAAGGTATACATCTACGTTTTAAAAAACATACGACTCTCTTAAAGCCCCTAATAATCGAAAAATTGCTTATTGGATAGCGCACGAATGCTGGAACTCGGAATGTGCTCGCGCTTAAAGACCCGTCCTTTCTCGCGTATCTCAAAAAGCCTCACATCGCCGAGGCTAAATCGATAGCGCTATCAATTCCCGAATACGTCGTAATTTCACGCAGCACATCGAAAAGTTCCGCGCGCCGGCTCATTAACTGCTAAGCATGGAGATATTTCGTAACGTGTAAAGACGGAGAGAATATCTGACGATAATACTGAGTCCCGCTATTCCAGCCGCTACAAATTTTACACGGTTCGCCGTTTCGCGGCCCATCAGCAGCAGACCCTCACGACGAAGTCGTCATGTCGCGTCTCGTTATACGATACTAAGCCAACGAATATTCGCGCTCCTCTGCCCCGCGATTGTTGCAATCAAGTATTGCAATTAAACCGATTAAACATCACCAGACCGACGACGTAGGAACCGCACCGCGCTCGTGAAACTCTTAACAGCTATATAAGGACGTTCGTGAGGCATCTCCGTCGCGTAGAATCGCGAGCAATAATTGCATGTCCGATCTATCTTAACGGATGTCGATCGTACTATACGCGATCTTGGAATAACTCGCGCGTAAAGCGTGATCACATAAAATCTATTCGGTGAAAATTCAAAATTCCCAAATGACTTTTTCCGTTCGCACGAGTGCGGTTCCCCGCTCATTTAAAATGGAGAAAATCACTGTCATCGCGTGAAATTGCATCGTCCCGCATGATCGTCCTTCTCTTTTATTTGTCCTCGTACTTGAGGTGCACTACGTAGACCTTCTGACCGGAATGCCTGCTCCTGATGTGAGACATCACGTTGGACGTCTGCTTGCTGCGGAACTCGCAATAGGGACACTGGAAGCGCGGCTCCTGGCCGCACTCGTACTTGAAATGCCTGGTCATATTGCCCTTGACAGTGAAGCTGCGGCCGCACTTGGGACAACCATGGGGCTTGTTGTCGGCGGCGAATCCGCCGCCCTTCAGATGATAGGTATTTCTCACGCGGCCATGAGAATAATAATTCGTCGTTGACCTCGATATGGAACATTCCTGGCCGAAATCCCTATTACTGCCTTCGATCTTGAAGCCCTTGCAGGATTGCAACACAAAGTTGAGATCCAGCTGCGGGGCCGTCGCGTAAAAACCTGGAACTTCAAAGTTGGTCGGTTAATAAGACGCAGCGGCACACCGCATTCGGGGACGTGTAGCGGAAAGATTCGAGGGAACCAAAGGCTTACGAAAAGTCGTAAAGAGCTTTCGTGCTGCCTTCGATGTAGGAGCAATTGGAAGATTTGCCAGGGGATTTGATATTCATGCTTTGCTGTAATTTGCATTAGTGGAGAGGATACCTGTGATAACCGCGGGGCGTCTTCTCTGACGAACCTGTATTCAGCAACGCTCTCGTCGCGCGGGCTACGGTGACGCAGAAGCACGTTGTGTGACTTTACAAAAATGCGGTCTAAAATTGGAATATAAAATCGCTACGTGTGATTCTTACTGCTTACGAGAATCTACGTAACTAGAGATCTATTAGAAAAATCGGAATCGTAAACGCCGGATTGTGTGCAGTCTTCGGGTGATGAGAGGATCCGTGCTGCCCGTGGCTCTGGTCGTATACTCGAAAAAGGTACGTGAACAAGAATGGCGTTAATGCCTAGCCGCTTTGTTAAGATCCATGCGCTTCAGCGGCAGACATGATAAAACTTTATTTTACAAAACAACGTACAAGCGAATCATGATTCTCTTATAATCTTATATAAAGTAGAAGCAACAATTTTCTTCAGATCTTAAAGTATCTACGCCAACTATCCCAGAGTCCAGCCTGATACTTCATGTGTCGTACGACAAGCTTTGTCGGGCGTACTGATTGGCTACAAGGTAGAAAATTTCTAGAAACTCGAGAATTTCTTTGTCCTGCAGCCAATTAACATGCTTAAAAAATTTGTCGTACGACACACACGAAATATCAGCCTTAGAGTCTCTCGATGATCCTCTTCCGATGATTGGCTTCGGTCGTCGCTTGGCAAAGTCTGCGTGGCAAAGTAGGTCAGTTTCTCAACACGCATGATACCAGCCATTCGCGAGCATCTTTCTTAGTCAGATTTGAAATTTATTCATGACTAAGGAAGATTCAGGCACTAATCGATTGAAATAAGAAATCCTAGAAAAGTTTACTATTATTTGACAAATTTTAACAATGTTTAATAACATTTAACAGTGAGACTCATAGAAGAGAAAATATTATTTTAAAATTAAATCACAGCCTTTTCATTAATATTTCATTCGCGATTTAAATTTTGTTGCTGACTTAAATAATATATTTCCTTAATTAAATGCAATTAATAGATTGTATTCTGTATTGTAATTAAAAAAAAAATATGCATGTATATATATATACATAAAATCACAATTCACTTCTTTCACGAAAAAGAAAAATATGGCAGTAACAAGCGAGATTGAGAAACATTCGTCTTCAGTGATGTACGAAGATCGCGATAGAAAGCAGGCCCAGTGGAAAGACGAAAGTTCACTTGGGTAGCTCGAGATCAGGTATGGAACCAGAGAACTCGCGATCTTCTTGTTGTGCTCAGAGCTTCATGTCGAAGATAAAGACCTCCTCTTCCGGGTGTTTCTTTCTGATGTGGGCGTAAACCGGTGACGTTTGCTTGCTGCGGAGCCCGCAGTAGGGGCATTGAAACCTCGGCTCGTGCCCGCACTCGTAATTCACGTGGCGGTCCTTGTTCCTCTTCAGGGTGAAGCCACGACCGCATTTTTGGCACTGGAACGGCTTCATGTTGTCGGCGCTGACCTTGCGCGTACGTATCCTCGATTTCCTGCACGCCTCGGAATTGAGCTTGCCGTCCGCTCCCGGTTGATACTTGCAGATCATGTTCGGCGGCCCGAACGGCGACACCACGTGGAGCCCTGAAACACGGAGACGAAGATGCTGAAGGACATGCTCGAGTGCGCGCGAGAAAGAAAAGATTTTTACGATGATCACCGCCCGTTCGGCTTAGGCTGCATCATCGGATTTCCCCAACAAGCAACGCATAATGAAAATGATTAAAAATCTGAGAGAAAGACGCGAGAAAAGTCTCGCAACGTGACCTCGCACGTACTCAGCATTTCCGTCTTCGTCTACACGCGTCGTAAATAAATCGTTCATATAAACTACGTACGATGTTGAATATTATGAAAAGGCTGACGTGGCGAGCGACTGTAGAGCGACAGACATACATCCTGATCTTGGAATATCAAGACGTACCGTTAGTATCATTTTATTCATCGACGAGCGCATCCGTACCTGCAAGTGAAACGGCGACGAGTTGATTAAGAATCTAATGAACATACATTCATATTTATCGGTAAACGAAATTAAAGTGATCAGACGTCGACGATTGTGTCATGGGGGGTGATAATAGGGTTCTTTACAAATTAGCCACTCAATTGGAGATCCAGCTGCACAGTTTATTGGACATAACAATCATAATACGCGAGGACGAGCGCATACTTAATCAGAGCCGGTACACATTGTTGAGCTTCCAATCGTAGTACAACGGCGACAGATTCGGGTGATGCACGCGCAGATGACGTATGATATGGCCCTTCTGATAATTTTTTACCGGGCAATACGTGCATTCGAATCTCGGCGGTTGTTTGCACTGATGGCGCAGATGCGCGAGCATCGATTTCTTCCACTTGTACAGATTGCCGCAACTGGGACACTCGTACAGGCCGTATCGCTTATTGAGATGGCCCGACTCCGAATAAACTTCTTCGAGACTCCTCCTCCGCTTGGAAGAACTATCTGAAACCCATGAAAAAAGCATGATCGTTTTAATAACGAGTCGATCCTCGGTTATCCTCATAATGAACGTGTCCTGCAAAACGGTGTTAGCGCACTCCTTCAACGATAAATCGCGTGAAAACCACGTGGACGGGATCGTTCGTTAAATATTGTCGTTGCAAAAAGTCGAAAACGTCGACTTCATTATTCACAGAAATTAAACGAAGAAAGGAAAGAGAAAGATATCAATCGAATGATAGTTGTCTTTATTGGTGCACGCAAGATCGCAAGATCAACGAACGTTTCATTACACATTCTCTAATTAAAAAAACTGTCATATAAAATGTTTAGTGCGCAATAACTCGTATCACGTATTCTTAATTCGAAGATACTCGAATTTATTGTTTAAAATCGATATTCGAAGACGAGGGGCAGAGCAGCCATATCCATGTATAGTTATGGTTTTCTTATACATTTACCGGTAGCACAACGTAGATTCGTCTCGTCGGCAAACGAAACGTGACTTGTGAAATGCAATTCATTATGTTTCGTATTGATCTACGACCTAAAAGTGGGAAAACACTAAAGACGATTAAAGGTTTGTCATGAAAATAAAATCTACCACGATTATATAACTAGATTTTTCGCTTGAACAGCGAAACCTTTCGTGATAGATATCCGTATAAGATAGTATTTATAATGTAGTTGGTGTAAAAATTGTTGAAACCATTCTTTCAAATACTTTCTAGTGAATCTCAAAACGCATCTGATATTCAGGTAATTTTGTCTTCCAAAGAAACTGGAAAACAAACTTTGATATCGAATGCATTTCAAGAGTCATTGAAAAATGTTTCAACCATTTTGGCACCAGCTATACAATCGTCCCTGTAAATTCTAGAGCGACAGTTTGAGCTTAGGAACACATTTAATATAGATACTGAAAAAAACTTTGTTTTATATACATATTTATAGAAGACCTATATATATAGCGTTGCCCGCTTGTAATTCACAAATTTTCCAAGAGGCTAATCTTTCAAATTTTCACTTCTCAAAGTGTCTCGAGAAAAGGCTCTTCAAATAATTAACTTATTTTATAAAGTATTAAAATAATTAAACATATAAGATACATCTGAGGTCTCGACAGTCATGATTCTCATATCACATTGTATTCTTTGGTGTAATTTCCATAATATTGTACATATTAATTATAATTTTTTGTACCTATACAAAATTTTTAATTAATATGTGCAATACGCATTACGGCAATTACGTTACGAGATACAGAATACGGAGATTTTACTCGCATATCCTGTGCAGAGTCATAAATTTAAGATATTAAAAAAAAAATTGAAACAACATATAAATATAAAAAATGGAAAGTACACGTAAATTCTTCTTTCCGAAGCATGTCAACCAATACCGATTAGATATCTCGTGGGATGTAATTAAATTAATTTTCTAAACGACTAAAGGCAGGATCGCTCGGCGAACGATATGTCTCAATCGCTTCGGTGCACTTCCTGCCAGGAGAGCCTCAAGTTGGTGGCGATGTCGATGCAGTAGAGCTCGCGATCCGGATGGAACGTGCGTATGTGCGTCCACACGTGCGTACGCTGACGCAAGTGGTGCTTGCAGTACGGGCACTCGAATCGCTGCGGTATGCCGCACTCGTATCTGTAATGCCGCATCATGTGACTACGGTGTTTGTAGCTGCGGTGACACTTCGGGCACTGGTGGCGGGGCAAGAGGTTCTGGATGTATTCGATGTTATGGGTGCTCTGCACGGACCACTTCAGAAACGGATCTGGAAAAAGAGAGTTCGCAGCCGGTTAGCGGAGGAGGAACACGCGTCGACACACACGCGCGGGGCAAGTTCCGCGCGCGAGCTTCTTCGTACTTCGTCTTGACCCTCGAGGATAACTCGATGTCGGAACTCGCGGCGGGAAGTGACATGACGGGAGCGAGGCTCGCGTACAAGTTTTCGACATTTCCCGCTCGAGCACCTGTGAAGAACTCCCTCCTTGCCAACCTTGCTGTGCTATCGGAGAGATCGCCGAGAAATCTGTGCCGTTGAGAAAGTAATAATCTGTAGGATCGCCACAACAATATTGGTGATTCAAGTTAAACAACACGACAGTAAAGGCAGAAGATAAGAACATAAAAAGAGATAAATCAAAAGATAGAAGAAACATTTGGCAAAAGGACATTTACATTTCTAAGGACAAAAGTACTTTTCTATAGACAGTATTGCAGGTCTTGTAAACCTAATTTAGAACTATGTACAATATTCAACGGTTTTGGTATTAAACGACGTTTGTTTATTACCGATAAGTTGCAAACAGTTATAGTGCAATTTCGGTATCTCGAAGAACGTTACAGATTTCGCATACCTTGGCATACGTAATGACAAGATAATACATAAATAGTCAACATTAATATATATCAGATAAAGTTATAACAAAAACGGTCAATTTGTCATCAAAATAAATATCCATTATATAATAAATAAAAACCCATTAATAAATATGATTTGTTAACGTTAGAAATGCCGATAATCGAATTGGATACCATAAAATAAAATACACAACAGCGGCTTATTATACTCGAAAAATAAACATTCTCATTGTTTCGCTGATGCATAGGCTGAGATCACAGGCATTAGTTAACTGACTAAATAAGTTTAAAGCCATCCGACCAAAATCGTCAAAACGTTTTTAATGTCCGAAGACACCTATCATGTTAAACAATAGGACTCTTCATTTACACTGACCCACAGCTCGCGTGATGTCATCGTTATATACATCATAAAATCACACGCGGGTCTTTATTAAATTTTATTCGTGCGTCGAACGACAGTATTGCGCGTCGAAAACCGGTAAAATCTGTCGGGATCTGTCCCATTTCGGGAGGAAGTGCGAGAAAAGAATTCATTCACTCGTTCGTTGAAGCGATTTCAGTCTTGCTGAAGGTCGATTGCGTAGATGGGCCGATTATAATGATTGCTCTTGATGTGCGAGTAAACGTGCGAGCGATGCTTGCCGATGTAAACGCAGTGCGGGCACTTGAAGCGCGGCGTCTTGCCGCACTCGTACTCGAGGTGTCTGTGCAGCCCGCGGTACCATTTGTAGATCTTGCGGCACTTGGGGCACTCATAGGTACCGGGTGACGAAGTACCGCCCATGGACGCACCTAATCTGGTACGGAATCGGCGCCGGTGACCGGTGGTGACGGTGGACGCGACGTCGGCGTAGCAGGAGCGACTGTAGAGAGCTGTAAAAGCACAGGTTGATCGTCAGTCAGAAACGGCGGTTCACCGACGGGGGAGGGACGGGATGATAACATTTAAAGAACGACAAACGGACGCACGTGTCTCTTTCGCGTGTCTCGATTCAACGTGGTCGCCTGTGTTAATTTCTTACCCTGAAAAATAAACGAATGAGGAAACAAAGAGCGAGCATAACATGGATGCTCCAAGCGTGGAGAAGATAAGCTGTAAGTTAACAAGAAATACAGTATGTACACGGTAACTCACTCATTGTGGAGTGAAAAAGTCCAAAGAGGTTGATACGAGGGATACGTAGGAGTAATTTCAATTTATTTATATTCGCTTTTGAGATTATATAAAGTAAGAAAAAACGTTATAGCACGCATTTTACTGTGATACATATATTGAAACTTCTTCTTTTAACAATAGATATGCCTCAGATAAATTTGAGACAAAGAAATTTCGGATTACATTGACGTCGCATTTGTCGAATCTTATCGATACAGTCACAAGCACAAAGATGATTAGGTGTAACAAATTAAACGATATTATCACTTATTCAAGCGTCCCTTTTCTTTCTGGTTCGAAAATGAACAATGAAACGGAGTGGTAAGGGACATATTATCCCATATAAACATTCACAATCATGGAAAAAAATTAGAAAAAAAACTGCAGATTTACTTAACAATTCCGTTAGGCTTCTCAGTTGGCCCTACCTGTTCACGCGCAAAAATCGGAAGTCTGTATTTCTTCGTGAAATCTTTGCGAAAGCCGTTTACGCGAGACGGATTTCTTTACCGAGATCTACCGTCCATACGTGCATCCCGGGATGTTTCATTCGCACATGAACGTAAATGGTCGAGCGGCGTTTGGCCCGACTGCCGCAATACGGGCACTTGAAGCGTGGTGATTTGCCGCACTCGTACATCTGATGCCTCCTCAGGCCCTTGTCGCGGACGTATCGTCTGTTGCAACGCTTGCAGACGAACCGCTTCGAAGGTGAAGCGTATTGGCGTCTCCTGGCAGCACCTGAAATCGAGAATGACCGTCACGGTTAGAAGAAGCGGAAGGCCTCGCGCGACGCGAAGTACGAGGAGTCGTTTGATCCGGGATAACTCTCCGGATCGCGACCTCCTGCTTCGACGCGTTATCTTTGCTGTAGAAAGAAACGGCGCGGGCGCCGGCATTTACTTCATCGTAGAAGCGGGATCAGACACTGGACGATAACTCGACTCGCAGGGACTTTATTGAGTTTTCCTTTTATCACACAAGGGTAATTGTCAATTTGCTGTATTTTCCCGAGTAACAAAGGACGAACTGGAACGGAAGCGTATACGAAGAGGGAAAGTGGGACGATCGCTCAATACAACCGCCTGAAGCACAAGGCCTGATCGGGATGATACTTTCGGATATGCGCGTAAATGTTCTGCGTGAATTTCGAGAGCTTGTCGCAGTACGGGCACTGATACTTGGGCGCCATCCCGCACTCGTGGCGCAGATGCCGCGTCATGTTCTTCTTCAGGGTGAAGCCGCGGTTGCAGCGTGGGCAGTAGTGACTCTTGTTCAGGGAGTACACTTTGCGCCGCTTCCTGGCTGCGGCTGCGTTCTGGCGGGCACCTGAAAAATTCGAAGAGTCGAGTTAGCGGCGGCGACAGTGCGCGATTCGCTCTTCGGAATTCCGTTCTCGCCTGAGAGATCCGTGGGCACGCACGGATCCGATCTTGTCGAATAGTCGAGAGGGGTAAGATTAACGTAAGAACGAACGCACGCTCCGGCTGGATCAGCGGAGCGTATCCTGCGAGGATTCTCTCACGGAGTGGACGTGTTCAGTTGCTGGGAATCGAAAACGATCGACGCTAATTCGTGACCGAAAAGGAGATTAAGTCCGCTACGTATACGCGCGATTACTCATCCATAAAAACAGATTAACATGGATCGTTCTCGTTTCTAGACGGGTCGTTATATACTCGCAGCAAACTAATACGGCATAAGACAAGTCAGAATGGAAAACAACATAAATGAAGCCATACGATTTATTTCACACAAGACTCTCCTCGAAACTTGAGTTATAATCACACAATCACAAAATATGAGACATGAGACACATCAAACCGCACTACACGATAAAACTCACATGTCATCGCTCTATCGCCCATTTATATCCTATTTAATATTAGAGTAAACCGTCTAATTTTGTGCCTGCGACAACATTGCATGCGATGTTAAAATTAGACAGATAAAACTCAAATTATAATCGTTTTTTTATATAAACATTTGGAGCAACCACGATTGCCAACCTGATATACACATATTTGTTATCGTGTTAATACTGCAATAACACTGTATTATCGAAATATAAAAAAACAAAAGTGCTTATTAGATAAAAAATTAAGAAATCCGAATTGCTGTGCGTACTTATAGCAAAATTATGCAATCTTTAGGTTCAGATAAATGCGTGTTAATTGTTTGAGGGATTATTGCGTAGAATTATATTCAAAGATCGCGTCGAGACATCTGAAGAGAAATTTATTCTCATGTAAGTAAGTAGTCAGTAGGAATATATTTTCAGTTGATAATAGGATATTCTGCTATACAATATCATTCAGAACAATTTATTCTCACACATGTAAGTAGTCAGTAGGAATATATTTTTGGCCGATAATCGATACTCCGCTACGGCACCGTTCAGAACATTTTGTTCACACCGACGGGATGATTCGGATGCCACCGCCTGATGTGTCTGTAAACGTTCGAGGACGAATTGTCCTTTTTGTGGCAATACGGACACGCGTATCGCGGCGTTTGGCCGCATTTATGCCTAATCAGGTCCCACGCCCTCCGGAAGCCCGCGTTGCATTTCGGACAGATGTAGCTGGTCACCGGTCTTACGTTACGCCACTCCGACAGTCGCATATCTGAAAGCAAGCCAGGACATTAATATACACTTTTTTTCCGGTTGCGATTCGCATCGAAAGTACGCTTCTCGAGACTGAACGACATCGTAACGCAGCCAAACGATACGATTCTAATGCGATAGCCTGCGTATTGAATCATATTCAAAATCTTTACACCGTGCTCAATCTACGCGACAACTCGTTGTCGCGCAAACATTGCGCGAAGATTGAAAATCGGAAAATTTTGCAATCTTGTTTCGCAAAAAAAAAAGAAAACAAAAATCGATAAGTCGCATACATGACTACGAAATGCGCAACACTGATGTGTGAGTGCACCTTGAGGGGTAGTAAAGCACGACTATATATCTTTATTTCCATTCGTGTTGTCTTCGAGTAATCAAGCGACGTGCAATAAATACGAATTTTATTCGCAATATGTACATGTAGTTTCTTCGGTGTTACACTCTTGTGAAAATTACGAATCAACGTAAATTCAAGTAAATCTGAACAATACGAAACAAAAACTATCTGTGTGTTTTGTACAAAATAAAGTCACATAAAGTTAATTGACAATAAAGCTATCTTCAATTATTTTCCAATCGTGAATCACACAAACGTAATCTTGAAAAAATTTTTATGTAAAAATGCACAAAAATTAATGCGAGAATGATCATGCAGTATCACAATACTTGATGAAGATACAGACGTACTTTCTTAGATGAGTCGATCGCCACAGTTGGTCTTTTTTTTTTACTATTTTATTGAGGTAAACGATACATTCGAGCATCGTAAACGAGTCACAGATTGTCGACTAAACATAAGTTCGCAAATGGCACACATTACAATGCAATCGAGGAGCAATTGTTTCCAAAAGCACGGTCCATTTCTCTTCTCAGATGCAGAAATAAATTTCTAAACACGTTATCAAGTATATTATTTAAAAAAATATTATCGAGAGTATTGAACTTAAACTCTTTTGAAATGTGCTCTTCAATCGTTTTGTTGAGTCACGGACTTCGCAATTCTTACATGATAGGAACTCACAATTGAGGAAAGAAGACCGAAATATATTTTTACATTTATAAATTTAACGCACATTTATGTCTACTTGCAGACTTACGAATTTATAAGCATTCTGGCGAAATCAACATTGTAGATTCTTCTTGCGCGCGGAAATAAAAATGAGTAGGTGAAAAAATGACTTTACTCTGTATATATTTCGAATTAGAATAAAATTTAGCGAGCATTAAATTCAATAAAATTTAAAAATAAATTCAGAATTATAAAAAAAATTATTTAACGTAACTTTTTGTGATTTAGACGTAATATGTCTTTTCTATTAGACTTATTACAATATATTTTATTTATAATTATGTACATCATTAATACGGACAAACTGTCATTTCTCAGGAAAATAATAATCAATAAAACGCAAAATCAATAAAAATAACAAATCAATAAAACGCAAGATCCAAAAAATTTATATTTACGTTAACGAAAATAAAAATCAAGTATATTGTACACTCGTCAAATTTTATCGCCAATCTAAAATCAAAATAATAATTATGTATACAGCATAAAAAAATAGAAATTTATATCATAAGATGCAAACAAAACAATTAACGTAAAATATGTACACTTATAAAAAAATACATATATATTTGTATATTTTATAATAATTATAAATTATATATAATTATAAAATATACAATAATATATGTATATATAAAATATGTATTATAAATCAAAGTCTCTTTTTCTCCTTTCTGCTTTTCTCTTTTTTACAGCCACTTGCATCACCTGTATCACAAAAATGTCTTAATTTAGTCCGCACAAGTTAATATGACTGCTCGATGGCAGACGGCGAATCACGGAAGGAAGAGGTAGAAGAACGAGGGGACTCTAATCTGTCCACGTACACCGGTTTTCCGTTGTGTCGCATTCTAATGTGCTTATAAATATTCGACGAGCACTTGTCCCTTTTACTGCAGTAAGGGCACTTGAATCTCGGCTCCTTCCCGCAGTCGTACTTCATGTGGGTCTTTAGCGTCTTCTTGTAAGTATAGCCGGCATTGCATCGGGGACAGTGATACGCCATTTTCCCAGACTGCCAGAAGGGCCCGTTTTCGTGCTTGACCTCGTTCTGGCTGCCACCGTAATTCACCCTCAGGATGTCCATGATACGGGCGTCGTAGGGCTGCAGGTATCGTCCTACGAACAGGAAGAAGAGGAACCGCGATTAGTCCGGATCACGAACACTGGACGAGCGTGACGTAACTGTGGCCAGAACAGAAAAGAACGTAACAGGCGACACGATAAAAGGGAGAGATGAATGAGAGCAAGAGACGTAAACGAAGAGATCTCTCCGGATCGCGTCTGTGCCATCACAATCGGAGAGACGCGCGAGGGCGGCGAAGTAGCAAGGTAGAACGAGGACCAAGTAGAATGAGTTGATTATCCGCTGGCTCACCAAGTGATAGGGTACAACGAGGGATGATCTTGAGGAAGAAGGGAGACAATGTCGCAGTGTTAGAGATCTTATTATCGTGACCGAGTGCTACATCCACCAGAAGAATCTCGAAATATGAAGAAAACAGACTCTTCGCTGTAGATTCCTCGGGTATCGTACTCCTTCGCGACATATCACCCGCCGGTCCGTCGAGTAATCGCGACGATCTCGTGGTAGGGAAGATCAGGGCTGATAATTCGCTTGACCGGCGCAGGCGTCTCGACGAAAACGCCACTTATCTCTCGTGCGAGACGTCAGTCCGCACGTTATAGAGTCCTTGGTTCAGTATAGCCGATACGCCTGGATGTTGCTGCCTTTATGATGCATCCTGATGTGCCTGTAAGTGTTGGAGGACTTTCTGTCTTTCTTTCCGCAGTAAGGACACTGGAACCTCGGCTCTTTTCCGCACTCGTGCCTATAATGTGTCAGCATGTTGCTCTTCTTGCTGAAGGAGCTACCGCACCGCGGACAGAAGTATCTCTCCTCATGTTCGATTATTCGGCCACTCCTACGGAATACTGAAAAAGAAAACAGATCGAGATCGAGATCAGTGAAAGGATCCAAAGTTGCGAAATATGTCGATATTCCGCACAAGTGACGCAAAAACTCAAGAGGAAACTAATTTTATTGTTAAATTCAAGAAACAAAGCTGTAACCTTTCCCTATTAATATACTTACATGTTGCAGTATGATATCGTATTTGGCGATAAATCCTAATGTCAATATTCGCTGCAAATTTTTTCTTTTATCTTATTGAATTATGTAGAAATCTTCTCGTGTTTAATCAAAATATTAAATAACAATGTTCTTAATCTAAAGAGTTTAACATATAATTAATAGATGTTAAAAAAAAACAGAACCAAAAAGATGTACTAATTATACAAAGTATGTTATGAAATAAAAACATAAAAAGAAGTATGCTTAATTAACACGAATATTTGGAAACATAGATTAAATCTTACAAACATTAATTAAGGAGAACAATAAAAGAAATAATTAAAAAAATTTAATAAGAGAGAAAATTATATAAATGTATTGACGTCTATATATATAATCTTGAGTTTAATTATTTAGTTAAAAAAAAAATTATTATTTGTTGTTAATGATGAAAATTTGACAGTGAAAAGAATTGTTAATTAACGAATATATTTTCTCGTTGACTTCTCTTGCTTACAATTAGATCGACCCAACCATTGAACCTGAAAAAGAAAAGTATACTTTCCAATCGCGTAAAATTATCTTCAAAATATACTTTTTAAAAGAAATTATCAATGTTGTAGGGAATGCGAAAGGATAATAGTATTACGTTTTAATCGATCAATATAAACAACAACATTTATTGCTCAATGACCAAGAAGGTGTAATTACAAATCCACAGCGCAACATTTTATAGTGTAAATTTTGTCAAAAACGCGTAACTAGTAATTCATTAATCATTATTTATAACATTTTGTCGTTCTTTAACGTTTTAAGATTGAAAATCGAAAGAATTATATAAGTAACTTACATACACAAATAAATAATTAACATCTTTAATACTTAGCATCTTTGAGGCCTGTTTGATTAAATGATAAAAGAATACTCGCACAGGCAATAGAAATTCGCTAAATATATACCACTTCAAAAGAGGTCCTCTAGATCTTATATCCTTAAAAAAAATTTTAATCTTTTAAAAATAAAAATCTTAAGCATATTAAAATAAAACACGATACAAAATCTTCAAATCTAGAATCAATAAAAGTACGAACGGATAAATATATATTACAAGGAAACAGCGCACGCGTATTATTAAAATTAATTTAAATAGATGACGTAATTCTTAAATTAACTCCTGTTGGTTAATTATTAAATCAACTAGTTAGACTAGTTAGCGAAATAGTTTAACTCGACTAGTCAGCGAAATAGTCTAATTTCGATAGACTCGTCAGTGTCGTATATTTAATTTGTCGATTATGGAAATTCATTAAAAACTCCTTCAAGTCAATCGTTAAATATTTTGCGTCTCCAACGTGAACTCTCGTCAAAACATCATCCTTCTACAAATTTTCTACGAAACACTATGCATACAAAGTAAATTCATTACTGACATTCTGATGTTGATAAAAGTAATAATTCACAAATTTTCAAAAGAAAAATCTCTCGTGAAAAATCCTCCTCTATTGACAATAATATTTCGCATCTCTCTACTGCAATCGATCTGGCTTGAAGAAGGGCATATGCTTGTGAATCCTTCGCATATGCTTGTAAACGTTCGAGCTGTACTTGGACTGGTACTCGCAGTAGATGCATCGGAAGTAGCGTTTCTCACGATGATCGCCGCGGAATCGTTGGTGTCGCATTACAGAGTCCTTCGGCGAGAAACTGTGAGGCACGGCCGGAGGGGCGCAATGGGGAAAGCTGGACCAGCTATCGCTGTAGGGCATGGTTCTACCTGGAAGAATTGTTATAAGATCAGAAGAATTAAGCAAGCATTCTCGTTCGAGCTTACACAGCGCGCTCTCATAAATCAACGTCCCGACATTTTAATAATACACACACACACTGTGATTCAGGCCGGACTTGGCCCCGGCCGCTAACCTGGAAGATATACTTATCACCGTTTATAAGGGAACATACGCAACTTACGTGATATCAAGCGAAAACATAAAAAGCAAATCTACATTCGAACGCGCGAACATCGTCGGCATACTCTGAAGAATGATATATCACTCTTCTTCGAGGATGATGATGATTAAAATACAGTCTACAAATTGGAGAAAAAGAAACTTAAATTCGTCATATCACCAAATGAGCGAATTATCTTTCTCGCGTCTCGTACTGTCGTCCTGTGACAATCCATTTAAATCGGTTCAACCTATTTAATTGGGTGAAAAAAATGCATTCGGTAACTGGATGATGAGTCAGCCATAAAAATACAACATAAAATATGTCATGCTTTGTAATATAGTACTTATAAATAATACTCAAGGAAATAAGTTGACAAGATACTTCTTGTCGTTATATCATTTTACTAATAACTCATTATTTATAAAATATGTTTAAATACATACATATATATATTTTTTTTACATTTATATTAAGACATTGATATAAAGCATTATTAACGCATGCTGGTTACAAATCTTCGAATTAACTTTTAAATTTATCTTTGGGATCGTTCATTCTCCTATTTCAAAAAATTCAAGGTAAAAGTATTCAATCGATTTAATATGAATTATTACGATCAATTACGCATTAGAAATTATATGTTAAAAGTATAATCTTTTATTCACAAATATAAAGTAAAAGATGCGCGAATTTCCTATTACTTCTAACAAAATAAATATCAATAAGTACTCCGACACGTAGGTAGTACAAATCTTTAATAAACGGCAAAAATAAAAATAAAGATGTTAATAAAGAATAAAATATAGGAATTAAGAAACATTTAAAAACATCGTTTTCGTTTTTCTTATCGCTTATTTGATGACAATTTTCACACGTTGGATACATCAGATGGAACGCAACACACAATACTTGAGTATTAAGAAAAACAAGAATTATATTATTAATGTATAAAGAATATCAATATCACATATCCGTAAAAAATGAATATAATTTATTCCCCATGATCTAATATAACTTCAAAATAACGCACATACTGTTCGCAATTAACTGAAAATTGTAACTTTGTAAAAACGACAATGCATAAATTATCTTGTGCATTTCAAACAGATTTCAAGTATATATATGTATTATATGATTATACAAAACTTATTTATGACCGTTTTGTTTCTATTAGAATATACGAATTTGATTCTTAATGAAATACATGGGATTTCGCAGATTTCAAACTTTGCTTTTTACCTATTATTTGTACGAGAAGTAACTCTTTTTCTATTTCTGCGTTTCTACATCTTAAACAATCAACAGAGATAATTAAAAAAGTAATTTGATATTTCTGTCTCGTCAAAAAAAAATATCGAAGAGAAATAAAAAATCTGGGAAATCTCTCATTATCTCATCATGTGTCAATATTTTCCACATTATCAGTTAAAGTTAAGGAACAACGCTTGAAGATCATTATGCTTATTTCCAACGTGGTTAGGAAACTACGTATGTATGTACATGAGAAACCCCGTGAGAGAAAATAAAAATGACTATACTTCCTCATAGGCGAACCACATGCAAATTCTTTGATATATTATAAATATTCGCATCTTTCACACGCGTATAAAGTATTTCCAAAACTCGAATCGCGCCGATCCACCAATCTGCGCCAATTTCTAATAACGATTACTTTCGTCTGTGCATATAATTAACATAAATTAGATATAGTAATTACATTCTGTAACGCAACGTTAAAACTTTCACGGCTTTATCACAGAAACTTGTCATTTGGGCACAACTATAGTTTTTATCGTTTGAATATTTTTTTCAGCGAATATGATTACCTATATTATCAAAACAAAAATAAGTAATCACGTCAATCATAAGTAATTTGCCAAATATAAAATTAATTTCTTATTTCACAAAAATCTACCAATTAGAAGCTAGATAGTCAATATTTATGGAAAGTATCAGAATTATTGTATTATATCTTCATAAAATTTAGCGCAAAATCAGTCATCATCATTATGAGATTTATACTTAAAACAATTTATTAATCTCATGCGACCAATTGAACCGTATTTGTATCTGCGATATAAATTTCCTCTTTGAAACATCCTAAAAGAGGAAGAGAGGGAGAAGGGAGGGAAGGTATCTTGTTTCTGAGAGGGATAGATTTAACTCTGGTGTACGTATATATAAATTAAACTACATCAGTCTCAGAAATCGTCTAATACAGAAAGCGTCTAATACAGCTTGACGAATCGCAGCTCCATGTTGCGGTGCTTCGCCCGGATGTGCCTGTATACAGCCTGCGTGTACTTGCTACGCATTTCGCAGTGCGGACACTTGAAGCGCGGCATGTCGACGCACTCGAGCCGGTAGTGCCGGCTCATGCCGCCGGAAGTGCGGAAGACACGGGCACACCTGGGACAGGGGAAGCCGCGCCGGTTCACGGAGGGTTGAAGTCTTAACGTGTGACGAGAATTCCGCACAACGCCGTGATACTTCTGCAGGACGATCGGCCTGAAGTCTGCAAGCACAAATAGAGACGGGGTTCTGTATTAGAGCGGCCGACCACGCAACCTCGTATACTCTTAATAGCGGGAGAATTTCGAGAAGCAGCGAAGAGAGGACGGGAAACGCGCAGGAATTTCAGGATGCCTCCTTCTCCTCGGGAACGATCGAAGAAGATTGCCTCGATTTCATCTGCTCGAGAACCTAAGCCTGCATAGTGCGTGTTACATCGGCCGAGCTTCTTCGGCATCAAAGCGTAGAATTAAGCTCGTTACATTTAAAACCATAAAACACTTCAATTTATTTTATTTTCGTAATATTGGATAGGACAGTCATACAGGACAAGTATTATTAACGATAGTTGTCGATGTAATTCACGGTTAAATTTTTCCTCCGAGAGCTCTCCATCTCGATCTACAGATACGAACGGCCGATCAACCTTCGAGTGAATAACACACATCGAGCAAACGCCGTTTAAACAGGAACATTCACTGCCCTCAAGGAACACGCAAGTGAAACGATTTTGAGTTTATTGCCGATCGCGTGTACTGATATGTGTCTTATTATGGTATATCGTACAGCGTTCTTCCCCGCCTTGGACTAGTAGAGCTTGTTCAGCGTGACCTTCTGTCCCGGGTGGATTTTCCTGATATGATTGTAGATCGAGTGGGACCACTTGCTGACGTGGCCACAATACGGGCACTGATAACGCGGCAGTGAGTCGCACTCGTATCTGTAATGCCGGTACATCGAGTAGCTCTGCGAGAAGGACTTCTCGCATTTCGGACAGTGATACCGCCGGCCGTGCGAGCCGACCGCGTTCTCCATCGTCTTCCGTAGATGCTGCTGCAGTCGTTGCTGATACGATCGTCGCGGCACCGTCTGAGATCGCTCCGCCTCGTTCCTCAGCCCGTCGCCCCACGATTCTGAAACCGATGTCATCTCGCGTTAATGATTATTCGCAGTGATAACTGTTGGCACGCGACTACGACCGTAAAACGGTCATACGCATGAAGCAAGGAAACCAACGGAGTCTCCTTCGTAAAAAAAAAAGAGGACGTTCGTGAACTATTTAAACGCGAATTGTGTAACTGTAACACAAACACGAACCGTGATCGAATCGCAATAATCTTGTTGTCCAACGCACCGGTATAGGCTGCATCCTCTCGACCGGTTAATCCACGCTTTTCGAAAATTCTGTAGCAACCAGGATATTTTAAGCTTATAATTATCACGTCATAGATTATGTGCCTAACGTATTATTTTACTACACCATAGATGTAGCGAACATATTTACGACGCTGCTAGTTTCTTCATATTCATGATTAAAGATCTTGCGAACTCTGTAGCTGCAAATTTATCTAGAAAGGACTCTGTAACAAGACACATCTGTAATCGATTATCAACAGTTAATTTTCGGATTCATTTTGGTGCAGTTTTTACGCAAGATTTACCTCAAGTCCATCACAGTAGCGATATGACAGAAAAAACACGTTTAAATATTTCGTGAAAAAAATATTGTTGCTGCAATATGCCATAGCGATATTGTAAGAGAATATTGTCTGAATAATGGAAGGAATTGGATTTTTCTTCGTGTTTATTTCTTTTTACATTTGAGAACACTCTATGTACAATACAGTCTTGAATTGCTTCAAAGAAAACTTGCAGGTCTCAGTCCCCGAATACAAATGAATATCAGAGCAGCCCATTACACGTAAATTTGCAATAATTTAGTAAAGACGCGTATAAAATATAATACTGGCGAAAATACTTAAGTAGAACCAATCACAAATCGAATGTTCGATCAATTTTGCAACAGTCTCTTTAACGTTTTGCGCGTCAGAAAATCTTTTCGAAATTATTCTTTAACATACTCCTAATCCACGTAATGCACACTTCTTTCAATTCATGCCGATTTGATCGTGAATTGATTTGTCGGAAACGAAACTTCCACGTTTAAGTCATAAATACATTTGTACAAATGTAAATGGCAAGAAAAACAAAGATTCCCTTTATCCAGTTCGGCGAGTAGATTCCGAAAGTACAATCCTTTCGTTTCTTCACGCTGCCGCGCTGGTTCGCGATTCGTCGTGGCGATGACGTCGCGCGAGCTCAGTAAAGCTTGACGAGCGTCACCGGCTCCTTCGGATGCATACACCTCACGTGCTGATAAATGTTCGAGGTCTTCTTGCTGCAGAGATTGCAGTACGGGCACTTATACCTCGGCGCTTTGCCGCACTCGTACCTGTAATGACCGAGCATGGTGTCCCGTCTGCCGTAACCGTTGTTGCAATTGGGACAGTGGAACTTGCCGGTGTCCAAATTGTACTGTATGTCGTACAATTCCCGTTTCTTACTACGTGCGTACTTCTTCCGGCGCATGACATGAAGCTCCACGGGCCTGCCACCTACAAAAGATCGTGCCACGGTCAACATCGTCGTTCGTTCGGGACCCGTCTCGGGAACATCCCGCTCGAGGATGAACGCACCAAGATTCCATGCAGAAGGAATATTCGCGGGAAGTAAATAAGTGAGGTATAGAGAGACTGAGAGAGCAGAAGTGAACCGGAGAATAAGACGTAAGACGCAAAAAAACGTAACAGTCGGAGTTACGTAAACGTAACTCTTGAGAGCATATCGTTTTTTTTTTCATTAAAAAATTTTTATTGAAAAACAGGCGCACGTTCGGTCGGTTTTATACATGACTAACAATAAGTACATCGTCAGATAACGAGGCGCAATGACTTATCCTCATTTGATTCGTCGCAGATCTTTCGATGAAAAAGATACACCTCGAGTAGAGTGTTAATCTACTTCTACTTAACGTAATTTCCTTTTACTTGTGTCGCCGTCGAAAATTCGCGGTCAATTCAAGTTCTCTAAAAAATTTATTTTTTATAGAGACCAAATTGAGAGACCAAAATTAACTATTGGGCTATTAACTAAGTATTAAGTAAATGTTCATATGTAATACAATACATATCCAATATTCATATTAAAACATTCTTTGCGGAACTAGACGAATAAAGGAACAAAAAACGGCAATTCAATAATAGAAAGGAAAGAACATAGAACGTGAAGACCAATCTTCCCAAATCTGGTGTCCAATACAAGTGTTCTACTGCAACGCGCGCTATATTCCAAATATACAACGTAACGAACGAAAGTAACATTTAATAATCGCTAACAGGTACAAAAAGACGCGACGTTCTATCGATAACTTATTAACGAATAAGGCTCCAGTCGAATAGATATTTGTCACCAGCTTGTCTCTCGACTACTGTCGGGTGGAGAGAACGCAAACGCGTGGGCACGCGGGGCGGATCGCGCGTTAAATCGACGCTCGCACGGGGTGCCGTTAATCGCGCGTGCCGTGCGCGGCCGCGCGGCTTGTCCTAGAAGAGCGTGTTGCAGACGACCAACTTGGACGGGTGCTTGTGCCTGATGTGGTCCTGCACATTGAACTTCTTTTTGCTAAGCATGCCGCAGTAGGGGCACTCGAAGCGCGGCGGCTTGCCGCAGTCGTACTTGTAGTGGGCCGTGACGGCGCTCTTCGTGGAGTAGCTCTTGCGGCAGCGCGGACATTGGAAGCGGATCCTCATCTTCCTCGTGCCCCTGCTGCCCAGACCGATCCCCTCGGGCCACGGTAACATTTGTAGAAACGCTGAAAAAGACACGGAAGCACGCGGTTAGCTCAGTTGAATCCGGCGCGTGTCCGGGACCTATTCCGAGGTCGCGGGAGGGAGGGGGGTGATGAATCTTGCGAGTAAGTTCACGACCCACGTATTCTCTTTCTTTTTCTCGTTCTACCTCTCAAACACTCCGAAGCAAACAACACGCAGCACACTCGCGTGAGAAAACGACTCTCGTGAAGCTTCGAGAAAGATTCGAACAGAATTGCGAACTACTTTATGTGTATGCCGGCAATTACTTGAAAGATTGGTTCAACTAGATACGATAAACTATTTAAATCAACTCAATGAAGAGAATACTCCCGAAGGCAATTATTTTAAGTACCTTACTTCCATCCTCACGTACACATGAGGATAGAATGAAACTCGCATTGTTTAGTAAGAAACGAACAAATAAAGCAGTTAAAGATATCCTCAACAAGCTGTGCACGAACGGACTGCGCGGTAATCTATCTATCGATTAAATGTCGAATGATGAGAACCAGATGAAATGTGTCTGCGAAGATAGAGTGTTAGTCCGAAAGGTAATCGTGCGTCTAGCTACTTCAAAACTCACGGTACGAGATGCGGTCATTTCCGCGAATTATCGTCCAAGTGATCCACGATCTAAGGATGTCTTATTGTCCTGCAAAAAAAAATAGATATTAATAAAATAAACCACAGTCGGTCTAGATTCGTTAATTGATGCTTTCGAACTTCGCGTACAGAGGATTCCTAAGTTGAAGATAACTTCTACGATCTGTTAAGAATAAAACTAGAATATAAAGGATAAAAATCGGGATGATTATATTCGATAAACCTCTTTATTTCATTCGTTATTTAATACTACTTATTAATTATTAAAAATAGATGTTACGTCAATATTTTCACTCAGAGTAGAAATTACTCGACATTTAGTAATTAAATTAATGCACTATACAACACCTTGGTCTTGAATATAAGAAAGTTTAACAATTCCAACTTTCAATCCGCGATGCTTGACGCGTATATGTTTGTAGACATTGTTGGACCACTTGCTCTTCATGTTACAGTAGGGACACTGAAATCGCGGCAAGTATCCGCAATCGAATTTCCAATGTCGCAACATGTGATGCATGCGCCGATAGCTCTTATGACACTTCGGGCACGAGTGCCTAACAAAAAATTCATTTCCCTATGTTATTAATAAGAAATTAAAGAACAAAAATTTATTAATAATTTATTAACAAATTAACATTCAATTTTATTAAATGCATGTACATTACACAAAAAATTACCCTGACAAGAAAAATTTAATCAAATTATATTTCGTATAATCGTATTTAATCAAAATTTAACTATGCCTCTTGCAGTTTGTGAGAAATAGTTGCAGTATATCATCGTGATTATATAAAAAAAATTAAAAAATTATCAAGAATAAATATAATAAATAAAAAAGAAAAATAGCATAATTAAAAAAAATAATCCTAAGTAATACTTAACGATTTCATGTTTCAGATACATGAATAAATCAGTATATCAATACTTTCCATCTCACCTCCCATCATCGTCCGTGTAAACTATATTCCATGATGACTCTTCCTGATTTTGTTCTTGTTGTGGTGGTGATTCGTCTTCCTGTTTCGAGACTGACGTCGACATACACGAATCTGAAAGCAAAAATGGGAAATCATGGTGAAAAGACATTCATGTGACAAATTACGTTGACGTTCCGAGATTGATTGATGGAAAAAGAAATGAACATCACAAAACACGAGAAACCCATGGGATAATACTTTATTAAGTCTCAATTGTATATTTTGCTATTATCATGCATTTATCACGAAAACGCGTATTCTCATAGACAAATTAACATGGTTAATGGGTAGTGAAAGTGTTGATCTCGATGCTAGAATAATATCAGCGAGCCGCTGTTTTATAATCCTCGCACGATCGATGTTATCTTTCGGACCTTTATGTACAAATTGTCTATGTCTATATATACAAATTTACAAGTCGCATCAAGAAGTCGCAGCCCCCTTCGGATGCGGTAAGCTTTTTATTAATAAACATCTTTCTCACAGAGACCTTCCCTAAAGAAAGTTCACTACTCGCCTTAAGATCAATGCCTCGAGAGAAACCTCCGACGTGTCTTCCACTTCTTCATGCAATCAAAACTTCGTCGTCTACTTCATGCATAAACTCAATTAGCATAAACTTTGCGGTTTTCATGGGAGAAAAACTACGTGAATGTGTGTGTAGGTTGCATCAACTATAAACATAATTCAAAATATTTGACAATTTATTAAAGTTAAAAAAAATTCACCTAAAATATCTCAGACATTTAATAACGTATATTTTTATAATATATAAAAGTTTCCGTATAAAAAACAAAGTAAAAAAAAAAATCAAGATTGAAGTAATAAAGTAGTTGCCGATATAATCTTTCGCAGCGATACACCAGTTTAATTTAAATGTAATTTCGAAACGCGACCAGAACAATTTCGGACTAATTTATCAAAATAATCAGAGCCTCAGTTATTTCACACGTAGTGCTTCTTATTCGTGACAACGTCGATTACGAAGATGCGCATTTCACGATTCTGCATCCTGCAATGATGTGCCTGTTCATATTCGTGATTTCCGTTTTCAAACATATTTCGCAGTAAGGACATTTGAATCTGAGCCGCTAATCGCAGTGTATTCAAGTTTTATTTGCTATGAAAGTCTGTCGGACACTTCTGATAATAAAACCTATAAAATTCTTACACTTTAACACGCAATGTCGGTCGACTAAAACGTCATGCTAAAATTCGCCTGAATACGAGCGTATAACGTAGACTGATGTGTGCGATAACGAAAAAAAGAAAAATTGGTCGATCTATCTGGAAGAAACCATCTAGGACTTTGCGAACAGAAAAGTATCGAAATGTGTAACGCGACAAACAATAGAAAAATAATATTCTCTAACAAAGAAAAACTGGGAAACCATTCGACAGAAATATTTCTTTCAACCTAATAGCTACCGGAAAAATGAACAAGAATCCTAAATAGTACTTAATAATTGATGAAAAAAATGCAATTTTTATTTCATCTACGTTGTACAAGAAAAATAAAGAACATTGTATTAACATTGTATTAACCTTTAGAGGACGGAAAACCGGTTTTTAGGCTCCACGGGAGTCGCTTATTTTTCACGGTGATAAAAAATCATTAAAAAAACCTGCCCGTCCTTTAAAAGTTAAACAGAAAGATTTCCTAGCGATGATGTGAACTTCCCGGTAACGGTGGGATATTCTGCGACCATTCGTTCAATTTGGGCTGCGAGCTCGTCAAGATCGCTATTCCGTTACTCTGCATCAGGTTATCCTTGGAATAGTAGTCGCTCGTGCGCGAGATGTCGATGGTGAAAACTGACTGATTCTCGTGCAGGCGTTTCACGTGCTTGTAAGTGTCCGAAGGGTATCGCGATATGTACATGCAGTAAGGGCATTTGTAACGCGGCTTCTTGCCGTTGCAGGCGCTTATCACGTGCCGCTTCAGGTGACACTTCTTCGCGTAATTGTTGGGACAGTTCAAACACTGATACGGTCTTACGTTCCAGGGACAATAAGAATACCACGGATGGAATTCTGAAACACACAAACAACACCAATGCCAATACCGACTTGTCCGATTTGTCAGGGTGAAAGCGTAAAGTCGCAGCGCAATAATCTTAATGTAATGATACAGGTTTTTATACGGAAAACTTTCGTCTTATGGAAAATATATGATATTTTTCATCAAAGAGAAGACAAAGAGGCACATAAACTCGAGGTATGTCAAGATTACTCAAGGATGGAGGACAAAGGTGAGAATTTTAATATATTTCCACAAAAACATCATATTAATCCATGCGATATTTTTAACATCCTACATGAGATAAAGATTGGAAAAATCAGATTTTTGAAATTTTAGTACAATAATCATTATACACATTACACATACATACGTGTTATGATAAGAAGGAATTGTATATAGACATCTACGGAACGTCAAACGAAGAAGACTCATGTTTGTCGTATGTCACTATAAAGTCAATTTTTCGTCGAGTTATAGCGTTTCGAAAATCCGGCGCGCGTACGTGTACCACGTGCTAGGGCCATGGCACATAAAAGAACTTAAGCAATAAGACTTAAGCAGTGCGCAAATTGACCAATTTGAGAATTTGTCAGTATTTCAGAATTCTTGACTGTCATTGGTCCATTTGCTTACTGCTTAAGTCTTACTGCTTAAGTTTTTCTATGTGCCATGTATCATTCTGCGCTACTATCAGCTGATCGTAGCAGCCACGTGCTCCGCCATAAACAAGAAGTGAGTGGCCTCGTATGCGCGCGCGAGCGCTTCGGCTCCGGCTCTAAATCAAAATCATAGATCGATATAATCGTATATATCTTCGCGAAGAAAAAATTGTAGCGGGCTGTTTTTGGACTCGTTCGAAAGCTGAAATTACAACGCATTTAATGAGCGTAAAATCTTTTATCTTCGATTAGTAGTGTTTACGAGATATCTCCGTTTTTTTAATTCTTTTAAAAAATTAAGTTTGTCCCAAAAATCCATTATCGTCCGTTAGTGCAAATCGTCGTACGTTTAAATTACGATATCTTGACTCAGATTATGATTTCCTAAAACAAATTGCGTTAAAAAGCACGTAATATTCCGTAGTATAATATCAAAACCAAAAACTATTTCATCTTTGTTTATGTAAAATATGTAATGTAAAAATTTTGATTTTATATATAGCAGTCTTATAAATAGACCGTCTGAAAATATTGTCAATTTGATAAGAATACGTTTCTCTCCCGCAATTGTTGCTTTATTCCTATGTACCTACAAACATTTATGAATTTAGACGCCATTACATCTAATGTAAGAATGAATATATACACTGAATTGAGCATATACAAGAACATGTATTAACAATAGAAACAAGATTTGTCGTTATTTTGCTTAATCAATTCAGACAAAATTACAGAAAATATGGATATTATATATGAATACACATATACACAGATAAAATTATACTGCATGACACTTGATGTAAAACTATAATTATTCCATGATTTTGTATAAACTTCACATTTAAACTTACAAAAATACACGGAAGGTAAAAATTAACAAATTAATAGTATTTATCTATCTACCAATTCTAAGATAACAAACGGAATTTTTATTCTCACGCATTTTAAATACGGAAATACGGAAATACAGAAATACAGACGGAAGAGCATAATAAAGATGTTGACGTTTGTATGCCTTTTTTCTCTTTTCATATGTCAATAAATAAATATTCAATGTTCATTTACTACGAAACAGGAAATAGAGATATTGAAAAACGCGACTAAATATAAAAAAATAAGTAATAAATGAAAAATAATTATTTGCTTGTTAATTTGTCTCGATATTAAATACTATTTGCAAATAATAATTTATATCTAACTAACGTAATGATAAAAACCTGAGATCCTGAAAGAAAAACATGATGTGATGCATGTAAGTCGCCGTAAAATTAATATGTTTCATATAAACCATGATCTTAATAACATTAAAAATTTATTGAATAGCAATTTTTAATTGATGTTTACAGTAATACCTCTTATTTACTTTTTCTTCTAACAAATAATATTCCGCTCAATGTGCAATTGAATTCTTTACATCCGACCACAATTTGTACAAATATTTACCTTGCTAAACAACCCGTATTGTCTTTATATTTCATAAAATCGCAAAAAATTCACTGGAAATTATACTGCTGAAAAACGTCAATTACATAGACATCGTGGTTCGGATGCTTGATTCGAATATGTTTTCGTATGTCGGCCTTGACCTTGCATATGTAGTCGCAGTAGGGACACTTGAACCTGGGCTTCTGGCCGCATTGGTAGCGAAGGTGGCTCTGCAGGTTCCTTTTCCACGCAAAGACGCTCGGGCAATTCGGAGTAGGGCACGCAAATTTGATGCACCTCATTCTCTTGGTGTTCTTGGTCCTCTTGCGAAGATAGGGCGTAGGTTCTTTGTTATCTGAAAAATAACGACTCGTTCGCGATAAAATGCTCCAAAGATGCTCGTCGAGATGCGTGCGAAAAGACAGAGTTCGTGCTGCTAATCGTTTCTTAAACCTCGGAACGAAAAAAACGCCATTACTATTCGAAATTGCAATCGCAATTTTTGAGGGTTCTTGTTCACGCGAGGTGCTCATATTAC